TGCGAAATTTTGGAACCATCTAAACTCCCTAAGAATGAAACAAACCAAGATCAGAGGTTTATAACTACAGCTCAAGGTGCTAGACTAGAAGGGGATGAAGCTATTGAATATATAATAACAAGGGTGACATAAAAATTTCAAGAAGTGCCTTATGCACCACAATAGACAGGGATGGATCAAGTGGCACAATGGCTCCATTTTCACAACGGGAGTGGGAAAGGGCTGAGCAGAGGGTTCCAAGTAGTACATCAACAGGCCCAGATGGCATTCCAATTATGCTGGTAAAGACATTGGGTCCGAAGTCTAAACAGACTTTGAGAGAGGCAGTGAACAGAGCAATAATCGATGGTGAAGTCCCTGATGGATGGAAACTTAGCAGGATGAGCATGATCTATAAAGGAAAGGGGGACAAAGATGACATAAACAACTACCGTCCTATAACAGTGACATCAGTGGTCTAAAGGCTAGCGATGCAGATTATAAAGGAAAGACTGCAGGCATAGATAGAGGTTGAGGGGGTGCTAGGGGAACTGCAGAATGGGTTCTAGAAACACAGGAGGTTAGAAGAGAATCTGTTCTCACTGACGCAGTGCATCGAAATAGCAGAAAAGGAACTCAGGCCCCTGTGGCTAGCGTTTTTGGATATCAAGGGAGCGTATGATAGCGTGGTTAAGAGGACATGTGGGGAATACTAGACACACTGGGTGTGGAAGATGGAGTCACTAATCTTTTAAAGAAAATCTATAAAAGTAACAAAGTAGTTATAAAGTGAGAAAAACAGGTATGCAAGCCCACAGAGCTGAAACGGGGACTTAGGCAGCGGTGTCCACTGTCATCCTTGTTATTCATAATGTACCTACAAGGATTAGAGGCCAAATTAGAGGGAAGTGGACTTGGCTTCAACCTCTCTTTAGTCAAACAAGGAAAACTCATTGATCAGACACTACCAGCATTAATGTACGATGATGATATAGTGCTAATGGCCGACAACAAGGAAGATTTGCAGATATTGATGGACATCTGCGGTAATGAGGGAGATAGGTTAGATTTTAGATTCAGTAAGGAAAAATAAGCAGTCATGATTTTTAATGATAACAAAAGCAGTGAGCTTAGAATACAGGAGGTCACGCTAGAGGCAACAGATAAATACAAATATCTGGGCGTATGGATAAGCAATGAGACCGAGTACCTAAGGGAACACGAAATATACGTGACGACTAAAGGTAACAGGAATGCAGCAGTGATGAAAAATAGGGCACTGTGGAATTACAATAGGTATGATGTTGTGAGAGGAATATGGAAAGGGGTCATGGTTTCTGGGCTGACGTTCGGCAATGCGGTCTTGTGCATGAGATCAGAAGCTCAAGCAAGATTAAAAATTAAGCAACGTGAAATAGATAGGCTTGCTTTAGGAGCTCACGGGAATACACCAAATCAGGGAGTACAAGGTGATATGGGATGGACATCATTTGAGGGCAGGGAAGCAAGCAGCAATATAAAATTTGAAAAGCGATTGAGAGAAATGGGGGAGGAGCGTTGGGCTAGAAAGGTTTTCAGCTACTTGTACATGAAGAATGTCGATACAAAATGGAGGAAGCAAACCAGGAAATTGACTGGTAAATACTTAGAAAACAGCAGGTGGCCAAACCAAAGAGAACTAACGGTTAAGAAGAAAGTGAAAGAAACGGAGACTGACATGTGGAGAATTGGCATGATTAAGAAGTCCGCACTAGAGATCTGTCGAACTTTTAAGCAGGAAATTGCCAAGAAAAGGATCTATGATAATACTCGGGGTAGTTCTCTACTGTTTGAGGCCAGGACGGGAGTATTGCGAAGCAAGACATATCGGGCCAAATACGAAGGGGTAGAGACAGTATGCAGTGCGTGTGGAGAGGAATAAGAAACCGCTGAACACTTGATGATGTTCTGTAAAGTGCTTCACCCTGGAGTTCAGGATGATGGCACAGAGTTTTTCAAAGCACTGGGGTTTACGGACAGGGAGGGCAAAATAGACTTTAAGCGGGTAGAATTAACTAGATGGAGGTTATTTGACTGGTGGCTAAAGTCAAGGCACGAGTGAAAATTAAATCATTCTTTGCAAAGTACCCGTCCTATACTTCACTATTTAAAGAAAAAAAAGAGAAATCTAATTGTTGGTTCACTCAGTATTACGGCTAGGTGGCGATATCCGCCGCCCAATCTAAAGGGTACAACCACAGTAATTCATCCATCTATCCATGTCTTCAAATAAGTTTTTACGTTTTTGCAACAAAAATAACGTTAAAACGTTCTCCAAGCGGAGCAAATCTGCAGCGAAAAAACAAGTTCATTTTTCATAACATATACGCCCCAGCATTGACTTTGCCTCTAGTATACCTTGACCCGACATTTCCAAATGACCGCGGTTATATAAAAGCGCAAAATCATTTTTTCCCTCGCCACATACAAGCTGCGTCAACAGTGCGGCAGCCTTTTCGATGGATGGATGGATGCTATGAGCGTCCCCTTTATAACGGGGTGGTGACAAGTATGCCACCAGGCTCGACGAAAAAAAAAAAAATCTTTTTTCTTTTTTTTTATGTTGGCCTAATGCCTCTACTTCGATAAATTCTATCTTAATGGAAAAAAGGTAAGTTTTCAGCTTAAGTTCTCTGCCATTTACGGCACACTGTCCATATTTTATTTTTCCAATATTTATTTTTGTCCTTTCTCTCTAATTTTCTGCCACCAATACTCTAACCGTCTCTTACTTATTTCAATCGCGGGTGTGTTCAGCTTTCCATTGTTGTCCCTAAAACCCAAGGCTTCCTGTAGGCTCGTGCCCAAACGTACACCTGGGTGGATATCTCCACATTCAATCAGAACATGCTCCGCCGTTTCCTTATCTTTCCCGCAGCATGTGCATTGTTCTTCTTCTTTACTGTATCTTGCTTTATAACTACGCGTTCTAAGGCAACCCGATCTCGCTTCAAACAGTAAAGCGCTTCCCCTTGAATTATCGTAAAATGCCTCCCTCCTTATTTCATTTTTGCCCTTTCGGTAGTTACTCAAAGCCGGTTTTTTTCTCCATAGCTGCCATCCAGTAAATCCTCTCCGCCTCCCTGACTTTTCCCTTAACGCTCTTTGTTGACATATGGCTCACAATACCAGCCGTATATTTACTAGTGAGTCTTCTAGTTCTTTTTCTCCACTGTGTGTCCACGCTCTTCCTATACAAATAACGGAACACCTTCTCTGCCCATCTACTCTCCTTCATATTTCTTAGCCTTTCTTCGAACCTTATTTTGCTCTGCGCTTCCCTCGCCTCAAAACCTGCCCACCCCATATCGCACTTTACAGCCTCGTTTGTCGTCTTCCCGTGAGCACCCAACGCGAGGCGTCCCACAGTCCTTTGATTTACATCCATTCCCGATTGCACCTCTGCCCTCATGCACACCACTGAGTTCCCAAAAGTAAGCCCTGGAACCATTACACCCTTCCACAGACCTCGAAGCACCTCATACCTATTGTATCCCCACAACGCTCTGTGCTTCATTATTGCCGCATTCCTCTTTCCTTTTGCTGCCGAGGCTTTTTCCTGTACCTCCATGTATCTATCACTCTCATTTACCCATACTCCAAGGTACTTGTATTCACTTACCCTCGGTATTTCTTGGCCTTGTATGGACACCGTCTGATCACAGGGATCATTGAATACCATCAAACCACACTTCGTTACACTGAATCCTAGTCCAAGAGCTTCACCTTCCCTTCCGCATATATTCGCCAGCTGCTGTATATCATCTCGATTGTCCGCAAATAAGACGATATCGTCCGCATAAAATAAACCTGGAAGCTTCTGCTCAATCATCATGCCGCCCTGTTTGTGTGACAGATTAAAACCAATGTTGCTACCTTCTAGCGCTTTTTCCATACTCACCATGTACAGCATGAATAACAGTGGGGACAAAGGACATCCCTGTCTCAGACCCCTGCTAACCTCAACGTTCTCTTTGCTACGCATTCCTTCCCACTCTATGCAAACTGTATTTTCTCGGTATATCTCCCTCAAAAGCTGTATACAGTCGTCGCCCATGCCCATTCCTTTCAATATATCCCACAAAATTGACTGGTAAATACTTAGAAAACAGCAGGTGGCCAAACCAAAGAGAACTAACGGTTAAGATCCTTGTGGGAGCGCCGCGGTGCGGAGAAAAGAGCGGGCCACGCCCGCCTCTGGAAACACGCTCTCTCTGTGCGATTGGGCTGGCCAGAGAGAAACGCGTCGCGCGCCCGCCATCTCAGAGGCCATGTGTCACAATAACTGGTTCTGAAATACTCCGATAGATGGCGCAACTGCCTCAGTCGCGAACAAAGCGGTAATTTTGTTGTGAAACGAGAAAGGTCGTACCGCCAATAACAGGTTCTCAGATACACCAGTAAATGGCGCAACAGCCCCAGTCGCCGAGTGAAGCAATAGCTACACAGTGACCACAGAACATGACAAGGGAAACGCAGAAGAACCGTAGCACCTGTTTCAGCAGATTTGCCACTGGGTGCAATGGGAGCAATTATTTTCCCCTTCATTTATCGAAGCATGTTGCACCTAGCATTGGCTGTAGGTGCAACTGTGGGCTGTAGGTGTACCCTCACTAGATTTAATAGCGAAGTGTAGACTCCAAGTGTGGCTAGCTTGCTGCAGCCATGAGTGTCGCATATGCCCTGTAGCAAATTGTATTATAGGGCGATGCACAAGTTAGTGGACAACAACTTCTAATGGGCCCTAACAAAATCTAGGAATAAACAGTTTGATTCGCTATCGAGGCTGTTCCCGCTTTTAATCGGTCCCTTCAAGTCTCCTTTTTCGTTTTGCCCAGATCCTTCTAAGTCATTGCTTTATTGTCTCTTAGGCTATAACTCAAGTCTTTAGTTCCAGTCGATGGCTCTGGTCACCGTACTCTAGACTACACCCTCTTTCTGCCAAGTTCAGATATACTCGCCAATAAAAAAATAGCACACACTTCGGAACATTCAAACGGTTTTATTCAACCACCACGTGATACGGTTATTTGTAACTTCCATGGGCTTTCATCATACACATATGCATGGACATAAGAGTTTTGGCGTTAGGCGTAGCATCTTGCTTGCTCCGTCGTGCATGAAAAGCAATGCTCCAATGATACGAGCATTTCGCTGTTAAAATTAATGCAATGTGGCAGCGTGCAGCATTTAGCAAGTGCCACAGTCTCTTTTGCATAACGTGATGTCATTCTTTGCCGGTTAACTGATGTGAAAGACGACGGCACTGCAAACGACAGAAAACATGAACTTGTTCAATATGAAAGTAAAGCGTGCTTACGCTTTATTCCAAAAAAAAAATTTTCGTTGTTTGTCATCAAGCAAAACTGCGCAATATTCAACACAAGGTCAGGCTATCGATGTTTCGCTTCTTGCAGACAAAACATGCAGAATGCCAGAGCCTGTACTCGCTTGGAAATAAAGACAAGAAGGTGGGATGGTGGGAGGAGGAACAACATTAAATGTACTTCTGAACAACTAGGTTTCTCTCGGAGCACCAAGCAGCTCGGCAACATTCCAATGATTGTGGCATTCTGTTATCGCTTATCACATTTTAAATATAGACGCGTCAACTGAACGGTATGAACACGAAAAAACCACACACGCTTGTGAAATGTCAAAAAGAACGGCAGATTGAAAAAACAAAATCGGTTTACTACATCAACATGAAGGAAGAAAAACAGCAAAATAATCCACCACTTCAAAGTTATTAACACACGGAGATCATTAAAAAGGAATATACCAGGCACCACCGTTAACCAGCCGTGGGAGAATGGCACCATCGGAAAACAAGCGACGGGGAACATGGCGTGCGCAAGACGCCCACAACGTACGCTACACGACACAGCCCAAAATATGCGTATACAACATGTATGTAATATATATCTGATGCCTCACGTATGGCTTTAACATCTGTCTTGTGCATAATCGACGACTCGCTCAGTTTAGCTCGTCGTTTGGCGATTTCAACAGCAGTATTAAAATAACGAGCTCCCTCGTTTTCAACAGCTTAAAACTACACGATGTGGGGGTGTAGTGGGGGGCAGTAACACTTTCAATCCTACAATAAAAGATTTGTTCAAAGGCACTTCATACGTAGGCTCTAAATTAAAGCTGTACAGGCTTTCCTGTTAAACCCGGTGTCTACAGCGTCGCAAGACAAGAAAGCGCTTCTTTTGAACTCTAAAGAATAAAATTTTTGTCTTTTTTTTTTCACCCTTGGCATAAAAAAGTTTCGAGCTATGGTGCGATGTGACGAAATGTAACCTGAAAAAGCCTCGCTTGATCGATGGCCTACACATTCCTTAATCGTTACGGATGAAGAAATGACGGATACCGAGGACACGACGAAAAAACTGAGCCCTGGCTGGATAGACGGACCCTCGAATCTTGTACAGCCAGTATAACAACGGAATAATACAGAGAGGGGTGGCTGACAATGCCCCTTGAACGGTGCATCGTGCAGAATGAGCTAAATCTCTACCAGACTGATGGGGTAGGGAAGGTACAGTCAAAAAAGTATGTGGCGCCAGAGCCTATTGCCCGGGCTGTTGTGCCTCTGTAAACATTGCACACCATAATGCTACAATGACCAGGCGAATTGTGAGCTGTCGATAGCTGTTACGCGACATCGGCCAACAATGCGTACCTTCACGCTGCTTGCTGAATGCCGCAAGCGAGTGCTTTCAAGTACGCATTCCGGTACTACAACTACGACACACTGGCCAACCACTGTTGCCTAGTGCGTCAACCACAGGTGTCTAGTGCAACGACATACAATTTATGTTGCCACTGCTATTAAATCGACATTTTCAAAACGAGTCATCTCTCAAAAGTTTCACCCATCTCTTCAGCGTGAGCTAGAGAGATGCATCGCCGCAGAGGTGTGCTATCTAAATAACATTGCTGGAGCTTGACCATTGCCAGCCTGTAAAATTACCAGTACCGACAATGTGCCAAACGGAATGATGGCAACGTAAAATCTGCGAGTGGCTTACATGTCTCTTTGCTACGTAACAATGTGCACTGGCAACAAGAAGTGATCATGCAACAAGTAAACGCACTTTTGTGAACGAGTAAGACGTCAGCTGCTACTACTGTACAGTATGACGAAATGAGAATAAAAATACAGACTTCAGACAGTCATACGACAACTAACGAGTTAGAGAGGAAAAGGATCAGAACCACCGCAAGAGCTATGTCAACAAAAGTGTAAAAAGTTGGCCAGAAACCATCACATTTACCAAAGAAGCTTCTTTTTGTCCAATCAGCAAAAAAATACGTAGACGCTTTCGGGTATCTGATCTACACACGGCAACGTACAGATAGATACCAGGATTCTACTGAAGATGATTGATACATGTAAAGGGTTTCAGAAAAGACTGCTGCTATCAGCCACAGACACGCAAAACTTCCTTCACAAGCTAGAAAGGATATAGAGGGCTCGTCTGTACATACTGTAGATTTTTTTTTTCGTGACCAGCCTCAGTAGGTAAACACGCCAATACTCACCCTATTTCAAGACGAGACATGTTTGTTCGCAACTGATCAACGTTTCACACTAATTGATAGAAAAGGCGACGCAACTGCTGTCCTCTAAAGAACTGTCTGCACAGTGAAAAAAAAAAGAAGCAGTTAAAGAGCAACGATTGCGCACAATCAAAGTGCACTCCACTAGAGAACCACTTCCACATGAACCTGCTCAGATATACCACACGTACGTTGCTTGCAATGCCCCGCATGCGAGGAATTGCTAACCCACGGGATGTGTTGTAACGCTTCATGCAATATTACGCCATGCTGTTACACCCGTCTGTTGTAAGAGACGCGCTTGAAAGTCTGAACTTCAGCGTCGTGCTCTCGAACACACCTTTCCATCGTGCGAACACCAGCCGTGCTGATTACAGCTTCAGTACAAGCAACAGCGTCACCTAAAGCTTTTAGTGCAGTGGGAGAAACAATGGACCGCAACTGATCAAAGAGCCAGAACAGCTCAACAACATGTCGAAAAAATTGCACTGTGTACTCCAACAGTAGCCACCAAAACATCACGCATGGCTTGCCAGCACACGGCAAGTGAGCGTGAATGCAACAATATCTGCACATGGCGCAAAACAAATATGTCAAAAACGCACACACGAAATTATCAAAACGCAACACACGATAGGAATATAGTTCCGGCACGCTGCTGCTGTTTGCTCGCAGACTTCGCTCGGTAAAAGCTACTGTCCAACCTGCTACAGTTCTCGGCACCAGTGAGGCCCGGTTAGGGCTGCCAACATGATTCAGTCGTGCAATATAATAGAAGGCAGAGTCAGGTTTTTCAAGCATCAGGTCTAACACCACCTACTATCTGAATGGTCAGATCTGGCAACAGTGTGTAAGCAATGTTGCAAGACACTGGAATACGCAGACAGCAACGCGGCCGGAACTTTCAAAGCACACTTGATGCAAGCAGGGCACGGGTGCTTTCTCCTTTCACACTGGCAGCAGAGCGCGTGCTGATCGGTTGAGGGTGCACACGTCGCTGGCCAACCTCACAGCACACGCGGAAACAAGTCTCAAGGTGGTGCGGTGTTCACTGCCCTCGGTGTCAGGCAGCCGCATGTCGCGCGCACGAGCCTTCCTTGAAGTCCACACACATTCAAAAAAAAAAAAAGAACAAACAAACAAAGCACTGACTGTCACTACAAAACAGCCCCAGAGTCATTTCCCCACAGCCCGTTTGTTCAGGTTCACAAGGCTTAATTCCTTTGGCAGCTTGTTTCATCCACTCGTGAAAGGCGCTGGACAATGCCCGACACAGACCATCAGCCGGACCGGTCCTCCGACGGGGCAGACACGACGAACGGACAAGTCCAGAATTTCACTGCACAAACCCCACGAGCACTGCGACGATCCATCAGCCCTGGGTCTACCAACGCACCCAAGTCAATCAAGACACACCCGACTCCACCAAGATACACGCACGTTCCTAATGCAATACACGATAGACGGTTAGAATAAAAGATGGCGGGCATCAGATGACTTGGCATCAAGACTTAAACGCATAAAACAATGTGCGCTGGCGCGTAAACATCAAGATTATGTCCAGAGAAGAAAACCAGCAGAGGTTTGCGAAGCTACAAAGCTAAATGCAGCAGCCCGGTCGTCCAGGTAGGCTCAGTGACGCGCGATCGGCGGTGTTCTCCCGGCCTACCCACCTCTGCAGAGCCATTGTCAAGAAAAAAAGCTAATAAACTGTTTGAAGGGAATGAGCGGGCACTATGGTACGACCCGAGCTGTTGGTTGGCTTCAAATGACACTGTAGAACTTTTTGTCACACGACATAAAAAATAAACCTTTCCCACGTTATAAAAGACAAAGAATGCCTATAAAAACCAAAGAACTGGAGCTAGTTAGCAGATGAGCTTGTTTCCATCTCCCAGTTGACTTAGAATTAAAAAGTGGAAAAATGATAAACTAGAGCGTGAGTTAGTGGGAGAAGAAACGAGCTGATCCAACGGCTCCACGCCGCCGCGGTTGGCACGACTGACTTCCCCAGCGGCTTTATAAAGTTTGAGCATTGTCTAAAACTGAAAGTTTGGCTATTATGTCAAGATGGCTGACGGAAAATGATTTGATTGGTGTGAAAGATATGCTATCCTAAACAATGAAAAAAGTCGTATAAAAAAAAAAAAGTGGTCGGTCAGGAGCAGTTGGCAGCAGTTCAAATGGCACAGCAACGAAGGAGGTCTGCCTCACAAAATGACGTGACGATTGGTACTGCAGCAGTACCCATGTCGTCGGTTGGTCCTAGCGGCGCAACTGCCGGTGCTTCACGCCGGTGCTGGTCCAAAATACCGGAGCGTCTCAAAAGTTGAGATACTGCGGGAAAACAATGCGGCACTACAGGTGGGCATTGTCTCGCCGACAGTGTCACACTACTAGCTAGTCAGTCATGGTGACTGCTGGAGCATTTGGTGCTGCTAAGTGTTACCGGTGCATTTGGTGCTGGTACGTGACACCGGTGCATTCCGTAAGGAAGGCACCTTCCCAGGGCCTAGCTCGGTTCAGTAATTCCTAAACTTTCGTTAGGTGAATCAAAGCTGCAAAGAGGAGTCAGAAAGAAAGCATTAAGTGATGTCAAAGGCATCACTTAACACTTGAACACTGACTTACAGGCTTGTTATTGCATGATAAAATGTGATGTGCAATGAAGCACTCTTCTTTCAACGTCTTCTACATCCAACTTCTTACAAGAAGCTAACCAACATTATGTCTGCTGAGCCCAAGCACAACTGCTCCATGAAAGAATATGTGTCCCAGCTGCAACCAGACATTCCATGTCTTAAAACTTCATCGGCAAGTTTGAAGCAATTTAGGCACGCAAATGTGTAATACTAATACTAAAACAATTGAGCAAACGTCAAAACCACATAAACATTCAACCACAGCTGCAGGACTTGGGTCAGTCAATGCTTTTTGTGCTTGCACCACCTGTTACCTGCGCTCGACGCTTCAACTTATTGCAATACTCTAGCCAGTAACATGTTCCATTGCCTTCCTGCTGCAGGAACATTGCCAGGAGCTACCAGGACACAAGGGTCAAACACCGGGCCTTTCGAAATAATGCAAACACCCGCTGGTAAGAACCTAGTCGGGAGTTCTAAGCAATACGTTGGGCGAGTTGATTTTTAGCTTCTATATTTACAGCATGAGACGACACCACACAGCGCTGCTTGTGTCAGCTCCTTCGTGTGGCATCGTCGCGTGTTATGAACATGCAAGCTAGTTACGAGAATAACACGTGACCCAACCTTCACTGTTCAGAGATCGCAGGCTTGTAACGCTTGAGCGCCAATCACGGAACCCACGTACACCACTGTGCAACTCTGACGTTAATTTCTCCCTTTCGGCAGGCGCAACTATCCAATTCGGAATCAATACCCACATCGCTGCACGAGAGAGAGGGAATATGAACAACTTACAAGCACCGGCGCAACTAACTACTACAATTACCGCAGCAAAGCACAAACTACAACTCCTATGCCCCACCATTTGAGACCTCAGGATCCGCTAGAAGTACGATCAAGCATAACCCGTGCGTCAGCATACCGGCAGTGATTTTGTGATATGGACAGAACAAATCGTGGAACTGCAATCTTTCTTGCCCCAAACGGGTTAACACTAACTAGCTTGTCTAGAATTTCGATTTGCCGTAAACCACCAGCAAAGGGCACTGGCAGAACTGCCGTGATCCGATTAGAACGGGGAACTGCATTGTCACACCTGAACTCGGAGGCCCGCTGCCTAGCTTGCGCACAAAGGAGTTCGACTAGGCAGAATCGACCGGATCGTAAAATCAATTTCGCGAAAAGAGGGTTATAAAAGAGAAGTGAAGCGCCCAATTTCTAGTACTTAACCTTCTTTTCTGCCTCCTTTTTACGAAATGTGTTCTGCGCTTCAGTCAAGCGTGCCTAATCAATCTGAGCGCCAACTCGCTCAAAAATACGTTCTTTCAGAAACCACCGAGGACAAAACGACCACACCAGCAGCACGCTGCCACCCTTCTCAATTGCGACACGTACTATAGTTCTTACAATCACGACTGCCCGTTATAGGAACACCGCATCACGGAGAACTCCGCCACACCAGAACCGTCACTGCCAGCGACGTAGCATGCCGCGACGCCTTCGCGGCGGTGCTCGACCGCGTCTCCGACGACATCGGCGATTACCGGCGAGAGAAAGCTCACGAGCCCGGGTAGTAGTATGGCGGCGGCTTCGCGAACTGGTTGCTCTCCCAGTCCCCGCTGTGCCGCACAGCCGGCGGCGGCGCCGACTCGTAGCCCTTGGCATAGTGCGGAATGCCCGGGTCGCGCGAGTAGTGATAGGCAGGTGCAGGCGAGTAGGCGATGGCGGGCGACGTCACGGGGCGGTGGTGGGGTGCAGCGGGGTGCTCGCGGTATTCGGGGCTGATGTCGTGGTAGTAGCCGTCGCGGCTGTCGTACGACGCCCGATTCACCACGGCGCTGTTGCCTCCCGTGTGCCGCCGCTTGTGGTTCACACTGAAATGGCAGGAAAAAAAGAAAGAAACGAAAATGCATTTAATGAATCATTTTATTCACCATTTGACTAGCACTAGACTCTTTGGCAAACCCCGACTTGTGCTGCGTCACAGGCCGTAACAAAGTGATGAGCACGCCTATACCATACCCCGAATATAAGGATACAAAATTTAATGTGCTCTTTGTTGTCTGTCGATCACAAATTGTGCCATCAGTGCGGTGCATGTAGGAGGTCTCCGATACATTTCTAAATAAACAAGTATGTAATAAAATGTGTTACGAAACAAACTTGCATGATTTTTATTCGCAGTACTACGTAAGTGCAAAAGTGTTTTCTCATTGGCAAGCATTCAAACACTTGCTAGTAACAGCCCAGGCCATTTTGACAAATTAGTAGAATAAACTTAACGAATCCAATAGACAATCAGCCCAATCAAAGCATAGACTTTAATTCTTCCTTTAACTGCAGTGTAGTAATTATTATGCAAATTGAACTAAACTATAGAGGACGAAAAAGCAACCTTTTTCTCCCTAGGATCCGAACACACAATAGGTAAGGTATAGATAACAGATAAAAATAATTGATGCAAATAAACTGTGGTGAAATGTGACAGTATATTGACAGGACATGAGTAAATGAAGTGTCGTGTTTGTGTCTGACATAACGGTGTTCCTGTTTGCTCGCCTCTGGGAACAACTCAACAATACTAATCGCCGTATTCACAAACGCTCCTCAACTCGACTGTCCCTCTTCACTTGACAGGGTTGAGCAGTCCGCCACTGCTCGGCTGAAAATGACGCTGCGCTACTCAAGAATCGCAGCAGATTATCCCCGATATGCAGTGACTAGCCGTTCATAGATAGCGCTCCCATCGGCTTTCTCAAGTGAAGGTGAAGCGTTGAGTGAAGGGACGTTCTAGAATACGGGGGTAAGAGCAAGAACTTATAGACAAGAGACAGCAGCAAGTGTGCATGCTTCTCATCTAAAAGAAAAGATTTCACACTTGGTATTACTGAGTGGGGAATAACAACTAGCTCAAACCCTCTATTAAGTCTCATCACAGAATGTTTCCTCACGAAGATTGTGGCTATTGATATTGCACACATTAGAGCGAGCACGCACTACTGTCGTGTTTGACAGCTGTCATCATCTATGTACCTCGCGACGCATTGACCAACATTGACGAGTTTTATAAGAAAAGTATGAAATCTCGTAACACAAAAAACTTACATGGCTCAACAAATGAACATGAAACCACATGATAAGACACAAATGCCTTCACAATCATACAAGCAGAGCATATAAATCACCACGTATAAACACACTACAGATGATATGCAAACAGCACAAAGACACAAATGCAGAGACCGACGAAAAACACTTTTAAACAATCAGAATTCTGCAACAAGGAAGCATACACCACCATACCACCTTTAAGAAAGCACTTCCCTTTGTCGTATCTCCTTAACGCTGTTAATGTCTTCATATTGTATCGAAAACAAATTGAAATTCTAAACTTCACATTAGTAGCACTTGTACCAATAACTGCGCTTACCACAAGTCTCATTCGTTGTGAAGAAACGTTTCTGACGTAGGAAGTTTAACAAATGAAGTAGAAACTACATGTGAACTCTAGCACGGCTAAATTTTTAAAAGTAATAACAAGGGGACGAACTCGTCACATGTAGTTAATCCAACACAAGCTAATGTGCATAGTTACAATGTTATTAAATTTAATAATTAAAAAAAACTGTGGCCAAGTGTTGCTGTCGCTTGCACAATCCCAGGTTTCACTCCACAAGGGCACATGCTTTTTTACAGAGATAGACCCTACCGACCGACACCTAACGCTACAGTCTGCATTCGGTTTGTTGTCATCAATGCAGTGCCAAATTCTCTCCCCAAAAGCTATCACCAATACGCAACCACAGTATTTGCATAAAATTACGTTCACTTGTGCAACTGCAACATTGAAATCTGAGGTAAGAAAAGGAGACACAAAGGCAACAAAACAGCCGGCACACTTGCAGGCGGAATGTATTGGATGTAGGCACTTCAAAACTGCCCAGTGACCCATCCTGCATGGGAACCGTTAGCTTTAATGGCAATTATGCTAGTTCTGTTCTCAATAAACGCTGTGCCACTACAAAGCTTAGAGAAGGGATGTGCAAAGTACTGTAAAAGCGCATGCAGAGCACGGCGTACTCACAGTGGCAAAAAAAATGAGCTTGAAGGCAAGGATTTGAGGTACAGGAACTCAAGCACACCAAGCACAACGAGTGGTACACCCCAAACGCTATATGTCAAGCGATACTGCCCCACACTTGTGAAAAACAAGGACATACACAAAAGCTACCGGCGTATATTCAAGAGAAGGAAGCTCGCTAATGGCCTGCCAGTCACCGACATGCGTCTTTGCTCTCTTACGCACCACAAGCGAGTGTTGTCGCTGTTTACTTGCGTCCATGTTTTATACCAAGACATGGAAACAATAATCAAAGCCTGAGAATACTGGACGTCAGTTCAAAGCGGAATAAACTGCGCATTACGCCCAAGGATCGTCTATTTCACATTCCAAAATAGGCATAGGCACACACGCTTTGCGCTGTCATCACGTGAGACAGTGTCGACGCAATGGTACAAATTCTAATTAAATCAACAACCTCACTCACTACAATAGAGCGTTTTATAACCATCTCACTGTGGGTATAAACGGCTGCCTCATCGAGCGTCACATGCTTCATTCATGCTTTGTCCTCATTACGAATTCAGCCTCCTTTTTAAAGAGGATAGTCTTTTTTGGGGACCTTCGATGCAAGAATTTTGGTCTGTCTGTCTGTACATTTGTCTGCTTATTCCCTCTTCACGGCACCGGGTACTTGAAACGGCCGACCCCATCCGCAGAGCCCACCAATGTTGCTCAAGATTTAGCGTTCATACTTGTGCAATTGTCAAATAATAAGCAATTATCGCACATATCTGAGGCACCATAACAACACGTATATATTCTGTATGTGCATGTTTTACTAGAAAACACATACATAAGTTATTTTAAGGAGCATAGGGTTTATTACGCGGCGCTTACCATGCAACGCTTGCACGAAAAGGGAAGTGTTTCCAACGCTTTGCTAAGACGACACGGTGGTGGCACCTACCCGTCGCCTTGCGTTCTACACCTCATCACCGCTGAGACGGGCGTGCATGCCCATCTCAAAGCCGCGCGTTTTGTTTTCGAAGATAACTGCCAAATAGCGCTCATGTCTCACGTGTGACCTGACTTGGTGCGCTCGTTCGCCTACGCTGCATGCTCAAGGCACTCTAACGCAGTGCCTCCACAATACCATTCACCAATTGTCTTGCGCAGAACATCAAATAAGCATTTCGTTCAATCTCCCTACCAGATGCAAGACTATCGTCTTTCGATGACATTTGCAGAATAACATGCAGATGCGGGGCCAATTTTTTTTTTCTTTTGCCTCGTTACTGTCTAGATCTTCCCTAGCCCAGTCCCTCGGCCCTCGTGTCACATTACCCATCAGACCCTGGCACCCCTCGTTACTGGGTGCAAAGCCATGACTCGTGACAGTGATGCAAAGACCTTAGTTGGCACCAAACAAGAGACACTGCTACACAGTTACACTGAAATCTTGATATAACGAAACCGGATACAACGAAATATTGGTTATAACGAAGTGAATCGAAAATAGTCTTGCAGTAGATATAGTATTAGAAATAAACCTTTATAAAATTTTTTGGATATAACGAACTTATTTTGTGTGAGATACAACTTTGTTACAAAGAAGGTTTGAGTGTATTAGCCTTTCAAGAGAATGGTGCGGCTGGCAGTCGATGTTAAAATGGCCCAATCACATGCCATGAATGATCGGTGTTAAAGCAACATCCAAGTAAACGTGCCTAAATGCACATCACAACAAGACCCGGAGGATCCCCACTCCACCGCACATATCCAAGGAAGGGTCGGGGCAGCAAATGTAGCAACACAGAAAGACTGGAGCTGGGAGAAATTAATGAAAACATTCATTTAGGTGTTAATCGATAGATCGCTTCAGAAGTGCCCAGAACGATGAAAGACACCAGGTACAATGCAAGACAGACGAATTTTTTGCAGAGATTACACTAAAGCAAAAGGAGTGCGAATTCACAGAATGTTTCAATATGCAGATAAGCTGTACAGGCAGACAGGTTACTGAGGCCTTTAGATAAGACTAGAACTGGGGAAGACGCCCGTGGAAATGCACAAAACAAGGAAAACTTGAGGTTGAGGACAGACCGTAACAGATCAAAGAAAGAGCAGCGCAACTGTCGGACACAACACTGAAACCACACATACAGAAACCTTTTAGACAATCCCAGGCGAGACTGAAGCAAAGGACAGAAAACACGTTTGAGGAGTTGAAGCAGAAGACAAGAGCCAAATAGACAGATCGACAAGCTTTCGACGATTTAGACGAGACAATAACCAGAGACGAGAAAACTTCGTGGAGGCATGCTCAGAGGGACAGGCTTGAAATGCGGGAGGCAATAAGAATAGATCGCCTTCACAAGAAAAGACGAGAACGAAGCCGAGAGTAGACGAACAAAACACCACAGAGACAAACAACAGTTAACAAGCACAAAGTAGAAGTAGGGAATCACGTGGACAGTGAGGCGAGCTTGCCGAGAACGCTAGACGAGACACCAAAGCCGGAGAGAAAAGCGAGTTCAACACCGTCACACGGAAACAACCACCTTTGACAGACAGATAGACGAATGACAAGAGGAAAGAGAGAGAGACAGAGAAGCTTGTATAATCACAAACCCACGCTGGTAGGAATGGTAGGGGTGGCTATCGTAGCCTCTATTGTCTTGGCCGTTTTGCTGGGGTAGCTTTTTCAGCCTGCAAACAGAGGTGCCAAGGCACAAGGGGGAGAGAAGAAACCCATCTAAGCATGCAACATGCAAACAGCGGGGAAAAAAACAACAACGGCAAGATGCACTCTGAAACTCTTCAAGACAGCAAGAAATTGAAATGCATACCAGGACAGCAGTCACTCGTTCCCTTTTAAAATTTGCACAAAAAGCAATCTAATGTAAAACGAATGACACCGACTCGGTTGATTAGCGCCAGCATGTACTGCTGGTGCTTATCCTATCCTCACTTGCTGTCGAAAGGTTGCGTTACAATTGGTTTAATTTCAATAGCCTATACAGGTGATGAATGGTATGAAAAAATTTCATTTACCGTAATTACTCGAATCTAACGCGCACCTTTTTTCCGGTTAAGCGAGTTCATAAATCGCATGCGCGTTAGAATCGAGTACGAACAAAAAATTACGGTCAATCTATTGCCATCGCAAATCCAAAATGGCCGCCCCCTACGTGCGTCGGCATGGTGCGTCGGCTATTTCTGCCTATGTGTTTACCATGTGCGGCACTTCGTACGTGTGCTGAGGAGTTCGTCATCTAGTAGTGCATTAGCATCGACGACGTGAAAGGGCCGACTCCAAAAACTCAAGTGCACCACGATGCCGCTTTTAAAAGAAAAGTCATCGCGTGTGCAGAAACAGACGGAAGTCGGGCCGCATCGCGGTCGTTCCCGAAACGTGCGTGCGGGAGCGGCGGAAACAAAAGCAGAAGATTGTCGACAGCAAAGCTTCACGCAAAGGCTTCAGTGAGCCACAGCAGGGTCGGTTTCCGCAAATTAAAGAGCTGCTCCGCGAGTATGTGCTTTAGCAGCGAGCGGCACAGCGGCCCGTGACGACAGAACTGCTCCAAGTGCGGGCTATGCAATTAGTCTTAGAAAAAAGTCTAATGCGGAGCCAGTTTAAAGCGAGTAGGTGCTGGCTAATTAACTATATGAAGAGGAAAGGCTCTTCCCTTCGAAGGGAAACATGCATATGCGAAAACTTTTGCGGAGAAGTACGATGAAAAGCTTTACAGTTTTCAGAGGTTCGTCCTAAACTTGCGGCGCAACAACGGCTACCTGCTTGGGCAAATCTGGAATGCCGATCAGACGCCTCTTTACTTCGACATGCCTGGCACCACAACTGTCGAGAAGAAGGGGGCAAAGCAAGTTCGCGTGCTGACATCGGTCCACGGTAAAACTACAGTGACGGCAATGCTCTGTTACACGTCAGATTGGCACAAGCTTCGCCCGTACCTCATATTTATATGGAAGACAATCCCGAAAGGAATCGTTTTTTCGAGTGGTGTGATTGAGCGGGCCAGCGAAAAAAAAAATGGGTGCGCGTTGCAATCGATGTCTTACGTTTATTTTTTTTTTCGCGGTGGAAATCGGGTGCGCGTTACAATCGAGGGCGCGGTAGAATCGAGTAAATACGGTAGGTCTGTTGGGCCGTGAACTAGCATGTAGCGGGCCTCTCCCACGTCATGGGCCCGTTGGGCTGCCCATAGCTGTGTCCTTAAATCCATACTGCGTAGCGCATCATCCCACTTTGAGGATGTAATTTTTTTCAAGCCATAACGCAGGGCACCACCAGGGCATACGATCCAAGTTGGCAGAGTTTGAGCTAAGTGCGCATGTATTTGACGTCTGAATTTCTGGGTAAATTTTGTGCAAGAGAGCGGGAAAAAAAAAAACAAATCGCACAGGCACCCAATATGCCGTACGTCCCTTGCCTTCTCGTATGCTTTACGCTGCCATAAACAACGGTAAAATCTGCGCGTAAGTCAGTCTAAACTATGCGTATTCAATCCCACACAAGTTTCAATCACAAATGAATGTCTACATTATCTCAGAAAAGTTCATCATCCTCACTGGCCTTACTTAACAAACAAGAAAACACATTTAGCCACATTTGTGGGTGCCACTGTATGTACTGTAATTGTGCCAAATCACAGAACACATCTTACTTATGCATAACACTGTCATGAACAAGTGGCAAGGAGGCCGTGGTTAGAACGGCACGCGGACTTACTAGAACAAATGAATCGCAAGTACAAAACCTTGCTGAACCCAACATTTTTCCTATGCTAACTTGTTCCGTTATAGAAATAAAACCGATGCCTTTTATCACGTGGCGTTATTGTGTTACCAGTGAATATAAAAAAAAAACATGTAAGAGATGACCTGGCTTTTGGAACATTTCGTTTCCAAGTAACTACAGTATGAAATGCAACGTGCCTTCTAACAAACACGTGCCATTCTAAGACATTATCAATCGTAAGCCGGAAAATTCGCCACCTCAACTCTAGAATAACCTTGGCTAAACTACCATAAATGAGCTCACAACGTATACCGCACTTAACTTATAGAATCGCCAAATTGAAATGATGTGGATAGCTCCAAGTATAGGAATGGATTCGACACACCTACTTGAACAGTGCCATAATAAATGGCCTTCAGTACACGTGGAAGTGTTCAATTTCATGCCGGTACGCATTTAGCCCTAGTCAAGTGTGATGTGCTACAACAGGGTTCTACTGCAACGCTCCCCCTTCCCCCCTTTCCTTTATTATAATGATGTATGACTGAAATCCTTGGTGAACACCTCGAGAACCTCCGAAATTCAATCTGCAAACAACTGCAGACTGTTTTGCACTGCAGCTTCCGCTTTGCATTGGCTCATTTACATTGCTATCACTTCTGCATACTAGGCGGAACGAGCAAACCAAACGGGGGGTTCCGCCGTAAAGAACTATAGTGGCTCAGTAAAGAGAACGAAATGCTGCTGCTACATACAAGTGCAAGAAATGTTGAGCAAGTACAAAGGATTGAAAAAGCGCTAAGAACTGTTAGTCAAGCAGGGCAAAGCCGCAGTATTTATTGGGCATGCCAAGCTCGGGGGCGCTGGTTGCGTCACTCACCGTGCGAGTGGGATGGTGTCGCTGTCCATGTAGCTGCCTCCGGACACGTGATCCCTGAGAAGGCGAGACAGAGAAGAAAACACACGACAAATGACCTTCCAGCAGAACACGAAACAATTTTCATGGTGTGCAGAATTTAAAAGAGGCCAATCTGCGTGCCCTTAAAGGGAAAACTACTCCAACTGCACGCACTGACCTACAGTCTCCATGCTGACCTACTAGGTACTACACATCTGATCAAAAAAGAGTTCGAAGGGCCAATAAAGCTAAACACTAAAGGGACATAACTGAATATACGAACAGTGCAACTTAAAAGTAGTTACAGTGAAACTGCGGAAGCACGGAAACAAGGATAGAAAAAGTGAAAAGCAAAACAAGGATAGAAAAGACCAGGAGAGACAATACAAGACAATACAGCGCTCTTTTCTATCCTTGTATCTTTGCTTCCGTAGTTACACTGCAACTACTTTTAAGTTGCGCTGTTCGTTTATTCAGTCATGTCCTACCAACTCGCCCGAGTTCTCACGCTTTATAACTAAAGGGACACTCGGGAAAAAATCAATTTTCTTCGCATTAGTAACTTAATCTTGAGCAATATCGCAACAATAGGTTTCTTGACGATCGATGGAAGCGTATTTGTGCTGCTTGGCCCCTTATTTGTTGTACAACGTTACACTTGACGTAGTCGTGGTAACACACTGCTTAGAATACAAGCGGCACTCACGAGTCTACGGGACTCAGCGGGTCGAGGTACAGGGTTGCGGGGTCCACCCTGGCATACAGTGAGGCCAGGCACAGGGCGAAGATGACGGCCGGAATGCCCACGACGAGGAATGCGGCAACGCTGAACCAGTAGCCATTCTGAAAGGCCCAAGGAAGATTTGTGGAATTTGTGAAACTAACATGTGCTCGCTACCAATAGAGTGATAGAAAAGTCGGGTGACTTGGTTTGGATTCATACTTGAAAATACACGGAAAACCATCCATAAAACATATACAACAATAACAACAATAATAATAATTACTGTCTTTTACGTCCCAAAACCCTGATATGATTATGAGGCACACTGCAGTGGAGGGCTACGAAAATTTTGATTATACAGTGTTTTTTAATGAATCACCCAGTACACTGGCTTCTACGATTCAACCCCCAACAAAATGCGACCGGCATGGCCGGAATCATACCTGCACCCTACCACAAAAGCACCGTGTCCTATGTTTTTTCTTTTGTACATATCTTGAGTCCCTGTTTTTCAATGCATTATCAAGTACGTATCAAAAGAAATTGCAGCAAGGAGATATTATTACACAAAAACGTGCGAGAACGAACAGCGTTCACAGGAGATCAGGTGAGACAATACAAGCACCTCATTAGCAAATGAAAATTTTAAAGAAAGAACAAAAGCACATGGTGAAATGATAACCGCTACTAATATCCTATAAACAGGTGGTGGCCTATTACGCTTGCCATATCACTTCTCCCACCTAGTGAAGATTTGGCAGGACTGATTTTGATTATTCTGCCTCCGTGTGCTTAGAGTTCTTGGCTAATTTGCCCCGGTACCACCAACCACAATCATCCTAATTAGCTCAATTGGTTGAGCGACTGTCCCAGAAAGGCGTAGGGCCCTGGCTAAATCTCCAGACCAGGACTAATTTTTTTTTTCTGACTAAAAGCTTTCTTCCTGGAAAATTCATACAGGTTTTCGTGTGGTGTTGGGCTACTGACAGATAGTTGTCAATTACCACTTTCTTAAATTATATTTTTATCTTCCACCAATATGTTGTCATTATTGTTTTCTCTTGTCACTAATTTAAACAGACACTAAAGAAAAAACATTTTTCTGTTATTAGTAAGTTACCCTTTCCCGATTCCCAGATCATAGGCTAACCGCAAGAAGACGCTGGCAAGTGAGAAAACGCGCAAAAAAAAAAAAATGTAGGCGGACGCCACCTTCCAATTCCTTCACCAAATACCGTGACATGACGGCGTTTATTGCAGGCTACGTAGCTCCTAATGGGCAAAAAAATGAAGCACAATGTCTGTTGATGGGGCCAGAGACCGCCGAGTGCAGAGATGTCACTTGGCTCGCACCTTCGAATTGACTTGAGCAAGTCGGCGCGAAGCAACGAGCGGACTTCAAAACGCCCAAGTCAGCCTTCGCGTTTCATAGATGCTCAAGCTGTCTTGCTTGGTCAAGTCAAGAACGAGCTTCAAAGCAGAAACACGCTGCTCAACTGCTAACGAGGTTAATAACGAAGTTGTTCTGTAAGGCACGTGTTACAGCAAAAAAAGACCATACTTTTTAAAATAACTATAAAAACGAAGTGCTACAAGCATATTTTTGCCATTTTACGGCTAACGAACATGCATGTGGTGCCTGCCGCCACAGAGATGCGCAGTGTTGCTTCTGTAAAGCGTTCGTTGCCCGCTGGTTTTAGTGGCCACCCGAATGCAGCACGTTTCTCCACGCTTGCTTGTTTGGAGGTGAAACAAGCATCGCGTTGGATTCTTTCGTCGGTTTTTTTTTTTTTTTTTTTTCAATCGAACCACGCGGCGTGTATTTGTGCTGACCTGGCTCACGAGGTAACGCGATTTTCACGGTATTCGCCTTTCTGTTCGCCTGTGGACATGCTTGCAGCGGACTAGGTTGCAGTTATAGATGAAAAATAAAAAAAAAGCAAGTTCTGGGAACAACAGTGATACGTATCCTTTTGTTGAGCTTGGTAAACAAGGGAAAAAGCGAAAGTCAGGACATTGCCCTCAGCAGAGTTTTGTCTCGCGGGCTGCAGCAATGTCTCGCTGCATGATGGTAAGGGGGAGGCACATGATGAAGAAACTCGTGATAGGGGCACCTCTTTTTTTGTGTGTGTGGAATTTTACGTAGCAATGTGCTGCAAGAAATGCCTTTCTGAGCGAGATACCGCGCCCTAGACAGGATGAAAGGATAGACGAGGCACACAGACACAGCGCCGGGTCAATTTTGTACCGAAAGAAACGAAAAAAATCATCGTGTTTTAGAAAAACAGAAATAGCCTTTACAGCTACGGCACACTTCGGCGTTGTCACCACCGGGGCTACTAATACGCACGTGTGTGTAGTCGACACAACCTGTAATGCCAGGGAACTCAGGCACTTCATAAAAGTCCCGCATGACTATAGAAAGTGCCGCCGGCTGCAGAAAGCGCACCAGCATCGCGTACAGGTGCTTAGCAATGAGTAGCCTAACTTTTCTGACTGCACGGCACACTGTCGACTACGGAATTCGGACAAGATTTCCGGTGACTGTTTCGAATGTGCCAGCACCGTAAAACCCGAGAGCCTATCAGTAGCTGTAACACTGGAGGCACAGGCTGTCTTCGATTGTCCCCACTTTCATGGAGCGGCAACATAACCAGCAGCTGCCGCACGGTGTCCTTCGTGAATCTGTACCGAGCGTGGAATTGTTGCTCGTCGTACAACTCCATCGGATTTCCTCGGTCACGTAAAGGGGGTCCAAGAATCTTCAGCAGGCAGTGCGCCTCAGAAAATGCTACGCTTATGGCAAGGCAAGCAAACTCAAAAGCGGCCACCCTACGCGCGACGTCCATTCGAGAGGCGGCCACGTTGGAATAGCGCATGAAGTCGCTTTCAAGCTAGCCCCGCAGCTGACTTGAAAGCTTGTCCTGACTTCGACCGAGCCAAGTCGCCTTCAGGGCGTCCGCAAGTTCAAGAATGGTTTATGGCGACCGGCAAGAATGTCTTGAGTCAAGAATGTGTAAAGTAGGAGTCAAGTAACATCTCTACATTTGGGGGTAAGCTTCGGGACATTTCGTCGAGCTAATGTCGGCAAAATAAGACACTGTACACTTCGAAATTCACAACGCCATGCGCACAGATTCGGCGTAAAATTTAGAAACGGCACATTGACCTCGATTTTCCGCTCTAATAATAACTTATGTTGGTAATTAATAACATCAGTGTTTTCAGAAAACAAACGAATTTATTGTTTCGTTTTTAGTATCCCTTTATAACATGTTCATGCTGAACCAAATGTCGAAACAACCATTGAAATAACCACACTGATCGAGCAATTGGAAGTTACAAAACTGGGAACACATATGGCACCAAAGGTCAGACCAAACGAGCAGACCCTTACCAGTGGCAAGAGAATGTCGTCGCAGACAGAGCTCACGGCGGCGCTGTAGACTCGGTACAGGTCCTGGCAGTCTCCAACATTCTCTTCCACCTGGATGCCAAAAAAAGTGAGCCACTGCGACAAGACTGCAAATTAACTGAAAACTCTGCAACAAGAAAGTTGAAGGAGAGTGAACCAGACGGCACAGACGTTCTTACGATGTTTACTAGAAAGAACCGTGGCGCTGCGATCGTTCGGCCACAATGGGAATGATCGGTAGTACATAAATTTGCCTAATCTTCGCGCTCGCGGGCTTCGAATGCATTTGCGGATTTGTTTACTGCAATGTTTCAGCTTTTGTTTCGAATAAAAAAACTGACCGCAGTGATTTCGTGAGCCAATTAGAATGGGCGAGCCTAAAAAGGTCTAGGTAGTGAAGCGTAGCTGTGGAGCCTTTCATGTACTCAGCCTTGTAGCAAAGCGGATTCGCCACAGGAAGCCAAACAGAGCCGCAAGAACGAATATTAGACAAATCCGTGTGCTATCCATCATTCCCATTCTGGCTGAAGTGTCTTCCGTTGCAGCTCCCATAAACACTACCACCAGAGTCACCATAAATGGTGACTCTGGTGCATGGGACTTTGGTGACACTATCACCAGAGTCCCTACCAGTGTACTTACGGAAAATTCCAAGGCTAACGGGACTTACCCCTCTTCGGGTGTGGTTCAGGTACTCGTTGACCATCTCGAGGAACTTGTCTTTGTACTTTCTCGCCGACTCGATGGTCTTCTTGACGTCCTCTTTAGCTGCGCTTTGGCTTCGTTGATTATCTTGACAGCGTAGTCCTGAAGCATGTAGAAAAGAAACTGATGCAGCAGGCGCCTGGCACTGCCAGCGAACAACTGCAGGATCTAAGTGTCGACGTTTAATCTTGCGTCAAACGTCAACGTGAATTAAAGAAGATAATTGGCAAAATTAGAGCAAAATCATTTGTGTCTATTATTTTCTTTCACTATCTATGAAATGGCAAATTGTAATACCACAGCAGAATAGAGTACACTAGAATAGAAGTCTATATCGTGAGCAATATTGACTACAAGGAGAGAGAAAAAAAGCCGATTTTATAGCAGCTTAACAAAGCACTCGCATGCCCTCTATCTTGGTCAGCATTTGAACGAAAACCTGCCATGGCTATAGTACGTCAATACAACAAACTCTCAGGAAACGAAAACCTCTTGAACGAAACTGCTGCTCAATTGGAACAACTGCTTCTAATATGACCAGTTTCGCAATCAAATTCCACAGCCCTTTATCAAGTTCCTCTATCAGTAAATGCAACTCCTGTTGAACAAAAAATATCTTCCTAGTCCGTTCATGTTCCACTCGAAAATAGCATCTATCGTACAATAGATACAAATCATATGTACAATATCATTATAGAAAGAAAAACAAGGATTCCCACTACGATCACCCTGAGAAGAAGTTTAAGAATGAAAGAAGACATAAGGAATATATGGTACATGATGCCTAAATCCCGACACTGTAAGCAAATAACGAAACAAAAAGTGATCGTTACTTGGACGTTACAATTATTACTTGCGTAATGATTATTACTTGCCGGTTACAATGAGGGGCATGCTAGAATTGTGTAGATATGGTATGCAAATGAAAAAGCATATTATTTGGAACTGGCAGGCAAGAAAAATGCGAAAAATATAGCATATGTTACTTTAGCAATCGAGATGTAAAACGTGAAGAAAGCAAAATGAACAAAAAGATGGCAGTTAGTTCTAATTATAGTTATGTTTAGCAAACACGAAAAAAACAAGCCCTTAATACTCCCCCCTTGTTACAACAAGTGGACTTACAAGAATGCTCAAAACATCCAACTAACTCGCCAACTAACTCACCAACTAACTCGCCATGGCAATGTGGAAATGTATAAACACACATGTACTCACATTCAGTTTGGTATCATTGATCTTCAGTAGGATGTTCACTTGTTTGATAGATGGCACCACGACAGCCTAAAAAATAAGCACACACACACAAACAGAAAAATAAGAAAAATTGTTTGATACCTTAATTCAGCAGCACGAGCATACTGCGCTGGTCTGCTAAAAAAATGACTAGACAAACTGTACAAGCTCGAGACATTGCGAACCTGAAAGACAGCTGCATCAGTACCCTTTCCATAGCCCCTTTTTTTATAGAGAGTTAACTTTCCTATCAGGGACTAGATAATCATGGACTATATGATCTCACTCTGATTGTGTATCTGTCAACTTTGTTCTTTTTGCTGAGCCTCTTTCTTTTTTAAAGCAGCAATGGCACAAAAATTATGCATTTTTTGTTGTTGCAACAGGTGGCTTGTGACCCACTTATCACGACTGGAGACCTCGTTTGATCGAGTGCGTGATGGTTATTTATTTATTTAGAGACGCTTTTAGAGAGCACCCAGTCTCAGTTTCGGTTTCAAAGGACACTCAGCTAGGCAGGAGAAGTTTCTTGGGCACGGTAAACGCAGCTGGCCAAGTGACCGGGCAAAACTGTGATGTGAGTGCCGTGCGCGAGGGAGTGCGACGGCCACATCACAGCACAGCCAGCGAGCGTGAAGCCGCAGGCACAGACGAGAAAATCAAAGGCAACGCAAGCGCGTGCCACCAACCACCCAACACAAACTTGTGACGTGGGTTTGTTTACATTGCCCCTGCGTTGCTGTCGGCGTCGCGAGGGGCATCGCGGCATGCATTTTTTAAATTGATTTTAAATATGTTCTAAGCCAGCGGTTCTCAGCTATGGATGTGTCGGGGACCCCTTGCGGACTGGTGGAAGTGATGGGGGACCCCTTGCAGCAGAGGGGAGGGAGGAGGGGGGATGCGTAGGTATATTAACACAACTGGAACGTGAAACAGGTACCTTCTATTGCTACCAAAAACATAAAAGAAACATTACACATCACTTCATTTTGGACAGTTCATCAATACGTGATGCAGTCGCCCTTAGACAGAGTTTAAGTGCATCTTAAAAAAAAAAAAAGCTGGTGATGGTTTTGCGGATCATAGAAATGGCTTCGCAGACCCACTAGAGTGCACGGACCCTCATTTGAGAACCACTGTTCTAGGCTATACTTGCCCTTGATACCTGGGGGATGTTATGTATGTCTTCATATAAATCTATCTCGCTCATTATCCCGCCTTTGAAACTTTGTGTCAGTGCTCCTCTAATATTGATTGATACGTCCTGCATGTGTAGCATGGCATATTCGCAGTAAAACTCCAGTTGCAAGTTAGCGCTCACGCCCTGTGTTCTCTCTGTCCGTCCTCATGAAGTGCGCACAGTTTTTGCGTTAGCGAAAATTCAAGAATGTCGCGGACAGTTTGTGTGGGCCTGTTAAGACGACATCACAGTCTGTATTTACACAGCCCGTTTTCACAACGGCGCATAAAATTTAGAAGAAAAAAAAACTCACCTTCAGTTCTTCAAGCTCCTTGACAAATCCCTGAAGCTTCTTGAGTTCATCCGTGACATTGTTCAGGAGCGCCAACACCTTCAATGAGCCAATCACAGGCAGTGAAAGGGTCAATGCATTATTTAGGTGTGCACAAAAACTGAATAAAAATATGCAAGACATTTAAATTTTAAAATGTAACATATTTTACGAGTAATCACTTGCATCTTATGGAGAGTCAGATCTCGCTACTACGTATTCAAAGTTGTTTCCACTTCCATTGAATCAAAAAGAATGGCATTTATTTGCACATGCCATGTTTCAATTTTCAAAAAAAGAAAATATGGTGCAGGTTCGTTGACTCATGACAAATATGTATGCCCAATTCTTCTTTACAATATGTGATACAGTCGAATCTCATTAATTCGAACACGCTTAGTTCAAGCTTCCGGTTAATTCGAACTCGCACTGAAGTCCCGTCAAAACTATGCGTATTCCGATGGGCAAAAGCGCCTTGTAATTCGAACCCGCAAGAACTTGCGACGGTTAATTCAAACATACCGCGCTCAGAAATCGCTCTCAGCACCACGCCCAATCGCGCGAAGGAAAAGGAAAGAAAAGGTTGCGGTGGAATGTTTGCTCTTTCTTAAATGCCGATCTATGACGCACCTCTGCCACGCCTCTCCCTTTTCCGACAGTCCCTGCCACGCGCAGACCTTTCTCCTTTCAACACCGTGCGCGAAGAGAGAGAGAAAAAAAAATCACAGCATATCCACGGAATGAATGATGATGAGTGGGGCGAAGCGCCAGTCAACCCGTCCATGCTTCCGTCCGTCCGTCCGTGTGTTCGTTCTTGCTTCTGTCCGTCCGCATGACCATCCGTGCGTCCATCTATGCAGCCGTCTGTCCGTGTGTCCATTCGTGAGTCTGTCCATCCGTCTGTCCGTGCGCCCATTCGTCTGTCCGTCCGTCTGCTAGCCTCTCTGTCCGTCCCTCCATGCGTCCATATAGTGAACACTCCAAGTAGCGTCATCTCTCATCTCGCATCCCCTGTGGCACATACCCGCTCTAGAGCGGATGTGTGCCACAGTTGGCTACTTACTACTCCATACATACGGCGGGACAACAGACACACGCCCTAAAGAGCTTCGCCCCTAAAAAAAAAGCTGTTGCGAGCGTTGGCTCTTTCTCACGTGCTGGTGCCATGCTTCCCCCTTTCCCGTCCTTGCCACGTAGACCCTTCTCCTTTCAATGATGTGTGCAAAAAGAACAAAAAATAAATAAAAAAGCTGCCATGGAGCTCCTCCTTTCTCGTCATGTGCTGGCGACGCGGCGGCTATGGCGCAGAGGGTAGTAGCGGAGAGACAGTCGTTGCTGCCGCCCGCAACTTCTCTTGCTAGGAGAATACTGTAGCCGAAGTAGAAATGCTCTGCAAGCTGCGTGCAAAATCGATCGACTCGCTGCAGGGAAAAGTGTGCAGACGCGCATCATCGATTACTTCAAATATTGACTGATGTCATGTAATTTGTGAATAATGGTGTCTTTTGAAACTTCTCCTGCGTGTGTTAGCTCAATGCATGCGCCACGGCATGGTGAGCCGTCCGTTCAATTAGCTTCCATTAATTCCAACTTCGTTATTTCGAACAAATTTTTGGGTTCCTTCGAGTTCGAATTATCGAGATTCGACTGTATTATTACTCGGATAGTTCTTCGTATTTTCTATATGCAGTCTTTTACCCTCCTAGATTGCAACAAAGCCCACGCTTATGAGCCAGCTAAATTCAGCCCAACCAGGCGTGCGATCTTCACGGTGGCAATAACACACATATTACAGTACATCTTTATCAAGTGTCTACTAAAAAGATAACGAGCTTTGGTGAAACTGGAGCACTCTCTACAACCACACGGTTCTTTCGCGTCGGAAGTTTTCATGCGGCTCGAGCGTGTGGTGTGCCAATAACAAAGCCACGATGAGAAGGTGGCTCACCTCTTTTGTCATAGACTTTCCCGACTTGAAGTCCTCCATCTTAGTTAACACCTCCTCCAAGTTGAACTTGAGTTTGGCGCCACTGACCTGCAATAAATGAAAAAAAAAATGCAACAAAAGAAGTCAGTTGTGCAACAAGAGTGGAGCAAGGAGTTTAGCAGCTTACTCCTCCCACAAATATGTCTGCTGCCGGCTGCAAAATGACCATCGTGGAGTCATTGTCTTCAAGGAAAACATGTGAAGGCAATATGCGTAAAACCTTGCCCTTCAAAAGGTAACCGCTTGAGAACGGGCAAACGTGCCCTGTCGGGTAAAGTACATGGCGAAGACACCCATCCCAATTACAACGAATGACAAGCAGGGTGATGACCTTTATAGTGCGCCCTTTGTGCCATTTTGCAGCTGATTGTGAGCAGGCCTCTGCCACACTGAATGACCTCGTAGCTTGGCACTACCCCAGCGATAAATGGAGCACAAAAATAGCTCGCGATTAGTACGCCGAAGGATGGACGACGTGTGGTGGAGTAGTTCAATGCGTTGTGCCGAGGTGCGAGGGGTTGCTGGTTCGAATCCCTAATTCCGCGCTTCGAAAGATTTTCTTCTGAACTATTTCTTCTTCTGAACGGCATGGTCAGGCAAAAATGCACAGAGGGTGTCCAGATGATTGCTATCACAATATAACCAGTTGCAGAAGCTCCTAGGGGCCCTGCAACACTTTAGGTAACCATCAAATGGCTTCATTGAAGAAGATGATGGCTTCACGAATCAACCACTGCAACATTTTCAAATCTGTAAATACAAGTGGAGTTTGATATTTGTTGCACGCTGCGATTGCTTCCTCTTTTCTCTTGTCCTGGAGAATATGCTGGTAGCTAAACAGGGAGGGACGGCAAGCAAGATGAGTGAGTGCACGGACTCAAGGGTGGGACAGTGACAGCAGTGGATGGTGTTTACATTTTGTTGTACCACTTTACTTTCTCACAACATCATATTTGAAATGCTCAATGTTATTCGAAGCTCTCAACCATGTCATACCTTGGCTTCCAAATCTGAAAGGTCCTTTGTGTCGACGCTGAAGCTCCGCAGCTGCACGATCCTGTCGTCGACCTCCTTTGGCACGATGCTGTCGACGTTGATGCTGTCTATCGTCTTTTCGAACTCCCGGATGCCCGCGTCGATGTCGATCTGCGTCACGTCGCCCTCGCCCCAGAGCCAGTCGACCGACCGCTGCTGGTCGCTGCCGGCCACCCTGCGGGTGATGTTCATCACCAGCTCTTTGCCGAGCAGCTGGAACAGGCTGTAGGACTTGTTGCGGCACTCGCCAAAGCGCTTGGCGATGTCCTCGATGGTCGTACCATTGATTGCTCCCAACTGTTGTTCCTAACGATTCGACGACACGGCCGACAAGTGCGACGGAGTGCTCGCCGCCCGGGTCGCGAGCAACGTCGCAGACGCCCCGCTGCCCGGCGATGCCCACGGCCAGGATCAGCGTCGACAGCACCATGGGAATGAAGAAGGCCAGCACGAACAGGACCGCACCGGTTGTCAGGCAGCTTCCGCCAGTCTTGCGGTTGCAGGAGCCCTCCCGGGATCCGCAGCCGCCCCACGTCATGCCCAGCACGTAACAGGCGAGGACGATCGCGAGCACACAGGCGATGGCGAGAGTGACGTAGCCGTAGTAGGCGATGTACGGCTGGGCATCGTCGAACACGTCCCTGATGGACGACACGTCCAGGGTCTTTGGGTCCGAAATGAGCGGGAGGTTGAACTTCTTGCTCGTGTCCTGGAGGGTCTGCTCGACATCGTTCAGTTTGGTGCGAATCTCTGAAAGTACACACGTGAGACGTGAGGACAGAAAAAAACTTAGCCCCTTCTGGCATTACATTAACAGAAAAATAAGAGTCCCTAGGTTCAATTTACGTAGGACACAAATATGAAAAAAAAAACCTCGAAAGCCCTTATTTTACCAAGAAAATATCGTTTGCGCCAGCAAAGCTCGGTCTGATAATGCCTGACCTACAACTATTCTTTTTTAATTTATATCACATGGCACTATGCTTCCTCCCGACTTTTTCCTTCCTCCATGCACGGAATGAGACCTTCATCCAAGTGCTAAGCAGCACAACGCTTCAGTTGCTGCGGGCAACAATGATGATCATGCATTCAGGTCATGCATTCAGAAAGATAAGAAAGTCATATCCGAAACGGCTGATCGCCACATAAGTTATTGGGAAACGGCGCGTACAAATATGAATTTGATGGGTGCACCTACTGGGGTCGTAACACCGAATTCGCTGGTACTGCAATGAAAATCCAACTTGTAACACACTTTTCACTTAAAAAAACGTGGTGAAGGAACGACGAACGTGAAATACCTATAGTGCTTGCGTTGTAGCCCCCGAGTTATCATGCCTCCTCTGTCCAAGGCTCAAGATTATGCCATCGCTCAGACGCTATGTCAAAATGGCCAGCACGGGAGCAAAGCACCGCTTACCATTTGTTGCAGTGTTCACTTTCCGCATAATGTCTTTTCTCCTCTCTTCCGTGTCCAAGGCCTGTCAACAACAACGAAAAAAGAAAAACGAGAGAGAAAGAGAGGCATCAGCAAGAAGATCATAAAAGAAAATGACCTAAGCTGAAGCTTTCTATGTAATCTTACTAGACCGACGGCATTGCACATTGCAAAAAAATTGCCAAACCTTCTTTTATTTTATATTTTCATGTTATCACACTTTGGCCACGAAGAAACTAACACCAGCACATGACACTGGTCATGTCATTATACTCGACTAAGTCCACGCTAGTAACAAACTATTCTGATAAGATTGTACGCATTATGAGAGTAGTGGAGTACCTATTCTGATAAGATTGTGGGCATTATGACAGAAGTCAAGTACCAGTCGAGTACGCTGGAATGTCCCACTGCTCATGTTTCACACGTTTCACCAACGATCAGATTATCAACGCCCGACATCAGTGCTTGCTATTACCGTAGCACGGTGACTGCTGCTCGTGATTTGAATCTTTATTTTCCTTGGCACAAGTTTGCTCAATAAAAAAAAAGCTTCATCTTACCAGGTTGAGTCTGTGTCCCTCCACATTGTCACTGCATAAAAATGTCAAACAATGGCTACATTCTTGGCACTTCGTTCGGTTGTGTCACACGCAGTTCCTATTTACTGGGTAAACGCAGAAAACTGATTGGGCGGAAGCGATGAGCCACTTTCCGAGGGCGTTACCTGACCGCCCCACAGTTCACAGCTGTCGTAGTGGGGCACGTGTTCTAGCATCACAATATGTACTGCATTTTGTAAAAGACCCGTTACTTTGCAATGCAAATGATTGAGAGATATGAAACAAGTACAGTATGCTGGAAACACAATGAAAGTGTTACAAAATAAAAAGGAAACAAAACACAGCAACAATAATCTACCTTTCTCACTGCAACTCTGAGTGTATTCAGTCAACAGGTCTTCATTGGTTTAGGAAAAATGACTCGGCACGCACACACAAAAAAAGAATCACAAAATGGGCCTGCAGAACCCCGGATCTCAACATCAAACAAGTCTTTACTTCAACAAAGTTCACGTCCCCGTCCCCCCCTCAACATCAAAGTTATTCAATCATACCAGTTGCGAAACTGTGTTCTGAAACTCAGATACGCAATAGGCTGATTCTGCGGGGGCTAGCAGACTGTTGCACCATGTGGGAGCGGCAACAAAAAACGCAAAATAAAGCATGCTGATCAACAGGCGACATGATAACCTGCACACTCCCGCCATGTTGGCTAATGGCACGTTTGGATTTTGATACATGAAGCCTATTGGTAGTATCGCAGCTCGTATGATTGAGTAATGCTGATCCTACATCCCATCTTATGTCAGTCAGCCTTACAGACGGCTGCGATACGGTTTTCAACCAACACGGAAGACTCCAATTGTTGTTCTAAAATGCGCAATAAAGTTTTATGAAGGTGCAACATGTCTGTAGAAATGTTTGCAAGAAAAGCACTTCGAAAAAACCAAACATGAGAAGGGTGACGTGTACACACCTTTTCAATTTCGCTCTTGAGCGTGGCAGGATCCAGCTTGTCAAGTTCTTTCTTGGCCTCTTCGATCTTACTCAGATTCACCTGAGACGAGAGATCAAGAAATACACATGGGATATCGTTCAATGAACACCAAGGCGAATTCGTATCTATGCCTCTTGACAACACTGCATTGACTTCCTGTAGTTATTCAAAGATGAGCTTGAGGTCCTGAAACAGCCTTAAAAATGCTCACAAGAGTTGTCATGGAAGTTGCAGACATGTGCTACCCCCTTACGGGACATTTCTTTTTCCCCCCAAGTTTGCAATACCAAAAAGAAACAAATAACAAATGCGTCTTTACGGTACCAGGGATGTGTTCTTACTTAAGATAACCTTGGCCATGCTTCCAAACAAACTCCCTAGGTAGCAGGACTCTGCCTAGCAACACATTGTTCGGTTTTCATTAGATTAATTAACATGACAAAATTGGTGCTCACTGTGAAGAAATGGGAACATTAGGTTTCGCGTTAAAAAGATTAAAAAGAGACGTGGGTCTCAAAGATCTCCTCAAGCTGTTTTTGAACCAAATATGGTAAGAGTAAACAGTGCTTGTTTTTATCTCCTGATTCTAAAGATGCAGTTAATTTTTCTATAGGTTCCTTATTCCATTACATTGTTAAGACACTGTTTCTTCTAATTACAATAAACAAAACAACCACCTCACAGAAATATGCAAATGACATATGCATCAATAGGAGAAATCACAAGGCTTACAACAAAGAAAGCACATTTATGGTTACATAATTACTTCTTACTTAATTACGCAGTTGTCACCACGAAAGGCAAATTTTAACAACTTGATAGCAGACTAATTTAAACTTTCTCGCTATTTCGGGAGTTCCGGACCCATAGTTTCGAGCTGCGAAAATAATTTTCGTTTTATCTGCGATAGCCTCTGATATATCGCAGTAAATGACTAGCGTAATGCCCAAAATTCATATTTTGAGAAAATCAAGAAAACAAGAAATGTGACATTTAATTGCAGAGAAGCACATATGTGTGTGTGTACATGTACACTTGCAAAACATTACTTGGCTACAATTAGTGGACATTCAAGGTGGCGAAATGCAACTGAAGCATCACGGGTTATATTGCTCTAGCATCAACGCAGGCAAAAAATCACGTGTCCTACATGTCTCAAAATTGATGGTACGGCTGAAATGTTGACCTCCTTTGCAGGATACTCAGCCAATAAGGAGTGCAATAGATGGGAAAGAGGGGCAGACACAGACCTAGCATACCAAGTTACAATGAATTTCATTAAGCCAATGACAACAAAATAGCAAGTTTAGTTTAAAATCCATGACATCACACACAGAGATTTCGACGTGAAACTTCAATACCGTGCTTTGACCTTATATTTATTCACTATCAATGAACCAATCACGCTGAAATCAATGAAATTAGTATTCCAGTGAAGTATGATATGAAAAAAATTCATCGTTCCATCTTAGCGCCCCTTTAAAGGGACCCCCAAGGCAAAGGACAATTTATGCGAGAGTGAAAGCTCAAGGTATGACGTCAAAAACAGCATATAATCAAAAGAGCAATGCCTTACATACCAAGAAATTGAGCTAAATGTATCGCACGACACGCACCACGACTGGGATTTGCGAAATTATCCCGATGACACGAATATGTCTGCCTTCAATGAATCGCTAGTAATCAAACTAGCTGCAATAAATGAAGAACTTTCCGTGCATCAGGAGGCTGCCTGTCCGTTTCTGTTTGATTTATAGCAACAACAAAAAAAAAATCGCCTGGCGCTACCATGGGGAATGGTACGAGTGGTTCAGCCAATGCCATGAGCATGTCCCGAAGAACAACACAAGTGCCGTGGACTCTTATAATTAAGAAGTAAAGACTCTCCTGCCATGTTTACCCAGACCAACAGATGTCTGTCAAATACCTTTACCTACCCTTATCAACACTTATCAACCCTCTTAGATAGATGAACAACAATTTTTAATGGTATCCCCGGGGATGTTAGCATAGTTTATTTGCCTGGCTTGCTACTCCGGGTGTCCGGTGATGACTGTGGTATATACGGTGATCCCATGTACACACAAACAATATGCACAGTTCCAAGCACAGATACATCCACAAGAGTCATTCATAAAGTCATTCAACATCCTGAAACAACCAAGCAAGTTTTTCACAGACAAGTGAAATGACTTCAGCACGATTGCCACGTCAGCCGGACACAAACAAGACATCACAGCCCTGTTGTCACGCTTCCACAAAACTGTCTGCACAGCAATTTACAACAGGTGACGACTGGGCACAAACAGCTACTGTTCAATGCCTCTGCTTCCTGGCTACGAATGCACAGAAAACAAGGTATCTACAGACGCTGTACAATGGTACGCCACTGGGGAGGGGGGGAAGGAGAAGAGAAACAAAAGCTAACAACAGGATAGCCTTTATCTAAAGATAAGTACCCATGTCATAGTCCCCATATTGCTGGGTCTAGTTGCCCCGACAAGCAATAAGCCACGATGGCTGGGAGGGGGGTATTATATATAATGTGTTTTCAGAAGCGGGGCCTCGCAAACAGAAGCAGATAAGGCACAGGCGAGTATGTGAGCATAAGTGCGGCTATTGAAGTGCTTCACTGCATTGTAAATAAATGGCAGTGAATACCATAAAAGAAAAAAACGCTGAAAAAAGGCAAGACAGTCCTTTTCTGTCCTCGCACACGAACGCGTCCCACACAATGGAGCTGCTGAATGTAGTCTTTTGCAACAGACCCAAGCATGTCGCCTCCTGCATCGCAACAACCCTGCTCAACATTCGCTACTGCTTTCAGCAGCACAGCTGTGAAGTTGTCGTAGGATGCTAGCCAACTTGTTAATATATGTTCCAAGTACTCTTTGGCGACAATGCTTCTCAGGCGGTTCACATCTCAGCTAAGTCGAGTGCCTTTCTATATAGCTCATAAAAGCTAGACAAAGGCGTTTGCTGCCCTCGCAGCAGATTTCTTAGTTATCTCAATTGCATGGCAATTACAAAAAACAAAGTTTTACCACAGAACAAGGTTCGTGTGGACCTTCCAAGCACAGTCGGCTGGAAAGCGTCAATCTAGTGGTAACGATGACGAGAAGAAATCTACGTACGCTATCAAACTTGAATTCCAGGTCCTTTTTGTTCTTATCGATGTCATCGCAGGTGGAGCCACCATTGTTGTTCCTGCACTTCTTGGACGCCTCGTCAACAGAATGTTTAACATTGTCGACCGACTTCTTTATTTCGTCCATGAGCCCCTTTGCTTGTTTGGCCACGTCCGTGATGTTGTTCACCTCCAAGCTCAGCTTCTCAACATCTGCGAAAAGCAGGATTGACCGCTCAACGGACGAAAACCAAGGCGTACGACAACCTCGGTTGCCACGACGAAGAAGCGGGCATTATCGGGAAGCTTTGACTCCTGTGTCTTGCCAGCAACCAAATGGCCTATTCGGAAAACACACTGAAAACAACGATGGGCCACTTGACATCCCAGCCAAGCCTTGAGAGATTTCGCGGTCAATATCGTGCTTCAGTAATGTGATGTGCATTTAGAGACAAACTGTAATGACCTTTCTTTAGATGCATTCATTACATGAGTACCATATACAACTGAAGAAATGGCAGGCAATAGTGCATTCTTTATGTACATTAGCAGCCTTTCAAACAGCACCTAAGCAAAAGTCGAATGCAGTCAATGGTTGTCACCATGACATGGGCTCCATCACAAAGCCTTCGAGATCAGCGCCCACCGATCTCCGAGGTCATGCCGAGTAGTCGCGCAGTCCATGTTGTGCTCTTGTCACTTGTCGCTCTAAGCAAACGGTAGTAGGGACATTTCTTATCCTCATATAAAAAGCGGCTATCTTTACCGACATTTCGCGAGATTTCCGTTCATATTCCAAGAGTAAAGGGCTGCACACTATTGATTGATTTGTGGGGTTTAACGTCCCAAAACCACCATATGATTATCAGAGACGCCGTTGTGGAGGGCTCCGAAAATTTCGACCACCAGGGGTTCTTTAACGTGCACCTAAATATGAGCACACGGGCCTACAACATTTCCGCCTCCATCAAAAATGCAGCCGCCACAGCCGGAATTTGATCCCGCGGCTGCACACTATCTATGCTATCTGAAACTCTGCTACCTATGTAGCTTGAATTTTTTTCTCAATTTGCGTCTAAGAACTCACACACACACACACACACACAAATCCAGGCATAAAAATGATCTTGAAATATGCCATGCTCCAAATTCGGAAAAGTGGTTGGAAATAGTGTATGGAAATTAGCACCCATATACACAAACCCAACAGCCACTGGGCAGTCTGTTGCTTCGAATAGCTGCCACCTTTAGCGGTGCTTGAAAGGGCATAAAGAAAAATTTTGGCTTCACAATTTTTACTTTTTGGCTACAATGTGTTGCCGGGGAACTGTTACGTCATACCTCGGCCCATTGTTTGATGCCGCGTGCGACAGATAATTTATTACAAGCTCTTCATCACCGACGAGTCTCAGTTTCGGCTTGAGAGAGCTCCGAAAATGATAAGCCGCCGGGCGCAAATATTGCCACCTAGCGTGTGCAACGCTCGACCGCGTTAGCACACATAACTGTGACGCACTTCCGCACACTCCGCATGAAGGAGTTTTTTCAAACATTTTGCATATGATATACACTTGTTTGCGGGAATCTGTACCCCAGACTATCTTCAAAACTTTGCGTCAGTACCCCTTCAAATGATGCCGTCGGCGACGCATCCACTGGTGGCAGATAAGCAAATGCAATCGGCAAACTGTCGCGCTGCGACAAAAAAGAAATGTGGGCTTACTTTCGGCCACCTGCTTGAGTTGGAAGGCTGGGGACTTCGTGATGATCGCAGAGACGTCGTCGCCAACCTGGTGCGTACAAACTAGAAAAACAGTAGAACAATAGCAGTGTCAGTTCATCAGTCAATCATTCAATGTCACTTGCATCTATTCGCCCCTTCACCTGGAGAAGTTGAGGGAAGGCATTGGCAATAGCTTGGCGAACCCACCGCATTTCCTAAGTAAACATTGAACGCAGCTGTTTTGCACATACGACAACCATGCTCGCTTCTTTCAAATCTTCCTCTAACTTTAGTGCCACAAATATAAAACTCAAAAAAAAGTAACCAGAAGTGATGCAGAGAGTGGGAAATTTTCGTGTGTGATGTGTCTGAACATGATGTAAAATTTGAGGTCTGGATTTCTGCAATTGTGATTAATTCAATTACCTAGACAACTAACTTTCCCCCAACTAATCCAGCAATGACAAGAGAAAGGTTTACTGGGACGTGTGTGCCTACCCCTGTTAAAACGCCTTTGGTCGCACCTTAGCATCTCGTAGTTTTTTTTTTTTTTGCTAGTTTGAGCACCGGTTAGCCGGTACACCTTGTCGGTGAGAATAAAACAAGACACATGCACACTGCGCAAAGCTCACCATTCAGACGCTGCTCGAACTCAGACTTGAACTCTCCGTAGTTCTTCACAAGCAGGTGGTCAACGTCCTGAAAGACACAGTACCCGACAAAAACTATGAGTTTCGGAGTGCAGACGTTGCTACAGCGGTGCTAAGATAATGCAAGATTATGCTAAAGCTTCGCAAAATAAATCGAGTGGCCCTATTCCATGTAAGAGCCACCTGCATCTCGTAAACATTGTGAAAAAAAAAAGTGAGAGCATCTTAATGCATGAAATTTGCAACAATATATTCAAACTTTCTTGTTGGGTCACTCCCACAGGCACCTACATAATGTTTTCTTGTCAACATAGCTTCACAAGAGAGCTTCACAAATAGTACTTGATACAGCTTCACAAATACTCTGAAACTTCATTATAACAAAGTTGCATCTTACTCGAAAATAAATTCATTATATCCAAAAATTATTTATAAAGGTACATTCTTAAATCGATTGCAAAACTATTTTTCATTAACTTTTTCTTTTATAACCGATATTTTGTTATATCCGGGTTCGTTATGTCGAGGTTCGAGTGTAGTGCTAGTAGCAGTATCCCTTAAGTTGACAGCATCATCTTTATCTGCCAGCTCATTCCTCATATTGAAAACGGTAGGCACACTAAGACACATACAAGTTTTTGTTTGCGTGTTTTAGTGCCCTTTCAACACATCGTATAACCAACTACCCCGAAACCAGGCGTTAAACAACCCCAATATTTAAAGCCGAGCTCATTACGCCATACAAATCTCCTAGAAAATGGGATGGCCCTGAGCAAGCGGAAATCACAACGAATCATGACAAGATATTTTGGGGTTAAAACCTTATTTTGCCACGATGTATTACATCCACACTAACGTGATGTCAGGTTACAGTATCAACTCTGGTGACTTCACATGACTAGTTGCAACTTCAGGCGCCAAAAGACACAAAATGACCACTTGTATGAAACCAATGAAGCCAAGGTGTGGAACAGCTGTGAAAACGTCGCGATATCTTGCGCGAGTGTAACAAGTTCATACGTTGTCGTGGCATTAGGGTACAGCGAGAAATGAAACTAGCTTTCAACAAGCATGTTGAAGCTTATTTTCCAGGGCACCCTCACATCGGTACATTTTCCAGACTTGTTGAAGAGTTTCGCCTCTGATTTGGCAAAAAAAAAAAGTGAGAAATTTTAAGTTCCGTACTCATTTGGTGCCTAAGTTCTCATCTCTTGCCAACATCTCAATGAGAAATTTTAAGTCTGTACTCGTTTGGTGCCCAAGTTCTCGTCTCTTGCCAACATCTCAATGAACTTAACCTCTTCTTTACAGCTCGGGTTGCAATGGAACGGCAACTGGACCTGGGAAATTAGGATGGTAATGGAGGGGTGAGGAGGTTGTATTGCTTTCAGGCAATTCCTCACGTTCAAACCTGAAGGAAAGGCTATGCCACATTCTTGGACACATGTTTACGCCCTCAAGAAACAATGCAGCCCTTACGCGAAAGACAGTAAGGCATAATGATCAACAAATCCATGCAGCAAGGACCGAGTACACTCAAACTTCGATATAACGAATCTAAATATAACGAAGTATTGATTATAACGAAATGAAAAAATTGTCTTGCAACTGATACAGTGTTAGGAATATACAATTATAACAAATTTTCAGATATAACGAATTTGTTTTCATGTAAGACGCAACTTTGTTATAATGAGGTTTGAGTGTAGTAGGAAGCACAGCATGCTCACATCCTTTGTCCTGTTCACCACGAGCACGACGTCGTGCGCCGAGTGTTCGATGCTGTCCGGAAGCTTGACCACCGCTGCCGGAACAAATGCATTGGTCACGAACGCGCAGACCACAGCGAACCTGAGAGGTTAAAAAAAGAACAAAAACATAGAAGCTCTAATAAATATTGACATGTCGTTTTCGACCAAACACCCAGACAACTGTGTCTGTACCGACACCAGCGGCAAAGACTTCACGTATAATAAACACTTTACTAGGAGAAAGCAAAGCGCTGTTTATATTTATGCAAGTGGCTTTACCTTCCAAAAAGAAAGCAGCGAGAAGACAAGATCCCCACATTTAAGCGCGATGTACGCACCCTGCGACAAAATAACTGCAAGTAGTCAATGATAGCTGGGCAATATAAGGTTAGATATTTGCAGACACAAAGACACATAGATGTGTGTGTGTGGCTGCACACACACACACACAGAATAAATATGCAGATAGTGTGACATTCCAGATCAACGTAGAGTTTACATTAAGATGGGCTACAAATTTATTCACTTCGTTCTTCGAAAGGATCAGCACTCAAAGCTCAACACTGAGAACAATATTTTCTTTTTATTTTACTTTTGCATCGATGCATATTTATATAAGATACAGTTAAAGCTGGCAATCAAACCTACGACCATGCACTTGGCAGAGAAAGGCCACGACTTCAAATGACGCCGCATGCAGCAAGTGGCCGTGTAAATGGTTAGGGGGTAAAAAGGATGACTAACAAACATTTCCCACGTCCACCACTATTTTTCCTACAGATAGATTCTCTTTTAATACACTCAAACCTCAATATAATGAACCCATATATAACAAATTATTGCTCATAATGAGAAGAACAGCTCTGTCATAGATCCAGTGATTCAAATATATGTCTAACGAATTTTCGAATTTAACAAAGCATTTTCGTGGCAGTTGCGACTTTGTTATAATAAGGTTTGAGTGTTCAATGAAAAGAATGCACAAAGTCTAAAAGAGATGAAGTATTGACAGGACCACCCCATGCCTTCTCCTATGTTTATTGTTCGACAATATGAGTGAATAATACATAGGGCTGTGAAATAGGCTTGCATCTGGCCGTCAAAATGTCTCTTTGAGAACGTATTTATACTTTGGGTCAGCGCTCCATTTTCTTCGTCCACACTCGACAAATTTAACCGTTCTTCGAAAATAACACGTGCACCGGGCAACTTGTATGAGTGTAAATCATTCGGCAGCCCAAAGTTTGGAGCCAACTGGTTCTTTACACCACAGTCCAACAAGTGCAAAGCAGCACCGGCATCATAAATTAGCTAGTTACAACTGATACTTGTAACAAAGAAAGATGAAAATCTGCGGCTCTAACAAATCATTCGTCTGGCTGACGCAACAGTACTACATGCAGAAATGCAGAAGTACATTGTCAATGCCCCTGTAAACGAGCTAATCCTTATACGTGTCTTTGCGGCATTTCAATCTTCAATAGGTCAGTACATCACAAGGTGAAATTGCAACAACAGAAAGTTCGTTTCACTAATAACTGCTGTGCAGATATTTATTTCAAGAAGAGTGTGGCTGTGATTTTGCTGAAAAAAAAAATTGCACTTGCAAATTGTCTTTGATTAATTGATATGTGAAGTTTAACGTCCCAAAACCACCAGATGATTATGAGAGAGGCCCTAGTGGAGATCTACGAAAATTTCGACCACCTGGTGTTCTTTAACGTGCACCAAAATCTGAGCCCACGGGCCTACAGCTTTGCCGCCTCCATCGGAAATGCAGCCGCCGCAGCCGGGATTCAATCCCGTGACCCGCGGGTCAGCAGCCGAGTACCTCAGCCACTAGACCACCGCGGCGGGGCTGCTATTAAAAGAACAATCATTGAAACTGGGTGCGACCAACCAAAGTTCAAATTCAGCTTGCTGTTACCGATAACTCGCTATATGAGCATTTCGTTATTACGAGGTCTAGCTGTAATGAAGGCCATACCACCGAAGAGACAGGGTCGAGACAGATGGCTAGACGCGCTTCATCAAGTCCCAGAGTTTAAAATTGGTGCACGTCCTTCATCTTTGTGACCTCTGTCACTTCAGCGTTATGGCCGAAATTAACAAGCACCGTCCGCACAGGCCAAAAGTCTTTCCTTCTGCATCGCAAAGCGCCAACTCACAGCAGCACGACGGCGAGAATGAAGAGGAGCACGCCCCGCCAGCCGCGCTTGGCCGCGTCTCCCTTTCCTTCCGGCACGTTCTCGGCACCACCACACCTCTTGCAGCAGCAGCGGAAGCACAGGACCAGCACGCCGACAAACGGCACGATTACTGCCAGGACCAGCCCGACGGCCACCAGGACGAGCAGGCCCATGAACATGCGGGGAAGCTGCAAAGCGGACGGCACAACCCCGTCTTAAAGGTGTGACGAGGAGTTTCTATAAAATGCGGGCCTCGAAATGAGAACGCCGAGACACAATAAGGAAAACCAGAACAGGGTGCACGTTTAAACAACTGTTTTTACATGAACGATATCGCCAGTTGAATCAAATACGCCGCTAAAGACACACTAGAACAACCTTATGTAATATTCAAATAATTTCTATCAAGATAACAAATGCAAGGTAACGCAAAGGCATCGTTGCCGAAGTTCAACTTGCCGCAAGGAACCCATCAAGATACAACCAGTGGTTGCCGCATGCCGCAGACTCCCGTCAGGAGACGACCATCCACGCCAACCACCACACGCCAAAGAGAGTCCTCAATTTTTTTTGTGCGGCCACCTAGCCTGACCACAGGGCGGCACTGCTGGCACTACCATGCTAACCATAATGATGGCGATCGTGATGGATGGATGGATTGGATAGATTGATATGGCTGTACCCTTTAGATCGGGCAGTGGCTAACGCCACCAAGCCGTAGTACTTAGTGCACCAAAACTAGTTCTTTTTTTTCCTTTAAATAGTGAGGTTGAGGACTCGTACTTTGTAGTGAAGCATTTAATTTTCACTCGTGCCTTGACTTTAGTTAATAATCAGATAACCTCCTTCCAGTTAATTCTACCCGCTTAAAGTTTATTTTGCCCTGTCTGTCCCTAAACCCCAGTGCTTTGAAAAACTCTGCGCCGTCATCCTGAACTATAGGGTGAAGCCCTTTACAGAACATTATCAAGTGTTCGGCAGTTTCCTCTTCCTCTCCACACGTGCTGCATACCGTGTCTACCCCTTCGTATTTGGCCCGATATGTCCTGGTTCGCAATACTCCCGTCCTGGCCTCAAACAGTAGAGAACTACCCCGAGTATTATCATAGATTCTTTCCTTGGCAATTTCCTGCTTAAAAGTTCGATATATCTCTAGTGCGGACTTCTCAATCATGCTAGTTCTCCACATATTGGTCTCAGCTTCCTTCACCTTCTTAACAGATAATTTTTTGGTTTGGCCCCCTGCTGTTTTCTAAGTATTTACCCGTCAATTTTCTGGTTCGCTTCCTCCATTTCGTATCGACATTCTTCATGTACAAGTAGCTGGAAGCCTTCCTAGCCCAACGCTCCTTCCCCATTTCTCTCAATCACTTCTCAAATTTTATCTTGCTGCTAGCTTCCCTGCCCTCAAATGATGTCCATCCCATATCACCTTGTACGCCCTGATTTGGTGTATTCCCGTGAGCTCCTAAGGCAAGCCTACCTATTCCACGTTGCTTAATTTCTAATCTTGCTTGAATTTCTGATCTCATGCACAAGACCGCATTACCGAACGTCAGACCAGGAACCATGACCCCTTTCCATATTCCTCTCACATCATACCTATTGTAATTCCACAGTGCCCTGTTTTTCCTATTACCTTTAGTCGTCACGTATATTTCGTGTTCCCTTAGGTACTCGGCCCCATTTCTGCAGATATTTGTATTTATCTGTTATGTCTAGCGTGACCTCCTGTATTCTAAGCTCACTACCTTCCTTATCATTAAAAATAATGACTGCTGATTTTTCCTTACTGAATCTGAAATCTCACCTATCTCCCTCATTAGCACAGATGTCCATCAATCTCCGCAAATCTTCCTTGTTGTCGGCCATTAGCACTATATCATCTGCCTACATCAATGCTGGTAGTGCCTGTTCAATGAGTTTTCCTTGTTTGACGAAAAAGAGGTCACGACTACTTCCAGCTCATGACCGCTTCCAGCTTGCGTCCTGGGAATGTCCCTTCTGCAACCCTCTTGTCACCTCTTACCCTCTCCTTGATTGCTACTGCGCATCGATTTAAATTTGAGTCCCCGGAAATTATCACATGCTGCGACTTTTCAGCTGGAGCATCCTGCACCTGGGGGTTACTTGCACCTGTGACGCCGGCTACTTTTTCCCCTCTCAGCCCCACCACTACTTCCCTGAAGCTGGGCCTTGCGACAATTGAACCAGCTGAGCCTGTTTTTTCCAAACTTGCTAGCTCTTTCTTCTCCGCCGTTCTGGTTGCCGGTGCTCTACTGTTCTCTCCGTTGGCTGCTCCTTTGTTCACATTGGCTAGTGCTTCCTCGGCGGACTTCAGCCTTTCGCCTATTGCCCTCGTTTTTTCTTTCTCTGTCGCCAACGCAGTCTCCAGCTCGGTGATTCTCAACAGCAGTTCACTCTGGGCAACCATCGTTTTCTCCACTTTTTCCTCGACCTCACATTGCTTACACTTAGCGTCAGCCTCTTCTCCATTTGCTTCTGCACTTGGGTCCATTTTCAATGTCACCCCACATCCTGAACACTTTACAGCCTTTTTACCGTGTCTTTATGACACCAATTGTCCTTATGACTTGTCTCAATCAATTATTACAAAACACGATCCCTGCCCGACGAAAAAGAGAAAGTCTAAGCTCTACTACAAAAATTTGCATGTTCAAAGTATGTGCACGTCCCACACGAGGTGGCAAGAGGAAAAAAAACACAAAGAAACAAACACGCACACACATGCACAAACTAGTAAATACCTGGTGACTGACCCCCGGAAAAGCCGTACCATGTAATAAGGGCTACAAAGATTTTAACTGCTACCTTATTAATTATAAAAGCACGCTCAAAACATGCAAAACCACTTATCTGCGGAGTCGATCGGGAGCACATGCACAACGCCACCTCTCGCTTGGTGGTTAAACCTAAATGCAGCCTTTCACAAGACATGTGCGTGCCACGAGGCACAAACGACTTTACAGAGAATGATAGCTCCCTCACGGATAATACCATAAAATCCCTTCTTTAGAAGGTTTGAAATATGCGGCCTCTTTACATCCCCCCCCCCCCCGCAATTTCGCCTGTTTCATTCACCACTTTTATTAGCATAACGAGCAGGAATGAAAGCAGTGAATAAAGCATTTCATTAGAAGCACGGGTATGCATTTTTTGTTCTTAGAGGAAACTGGCCACCACCGCTTGTAGCCATCAGAGTGAGCAGTGCTGGCTATGTTTATGTAATCCTGAGTGTCTTGGCCAGTGCCACTCACTGTCAGGGCTAACACTCCCATGATAAACAGAACATAAAGACCCAATAAACTAGATGGGAAAGCAATGACGACTGTGGCTCAATTGGTAGAGCATCGCATTTGTTATGTGAAGGTTGTGGCTACGGGCCCTAGCGGTGGCAGGTGGATTTTTCATTCACCTCAAGTCGTTTTCATCGATGTCACAATTACTATACTACAGTAAAAACCTAAAAAATAATGTCCCCCGTACATACGTTAGCTTCACTGTCTATTCGTTTTTGTTAGCTTATGTATAATGAATAAACGAGCCCTTGATCAATCCCACCTCGGTCGTTCATTAACAGAGAGAACTGCGGCACTACAATCGTTCAGCCACCGTGGGATTAACAAATGCGAGGATTTGCCTAGTCTTCGCACATGCAGCGTCAAACGCACCCATGACCTTGTTGATCGTTGCGTTTTGGCTTTTACTTTGGTAATGTAATCACTCGTTGTGAACCTCATGAATGACCCAGTTTCGAATCAGTCAGCTGAAAAGGAGTCAAGGCGATGAAGTGGTACTGCTGAGGTTTTGCTGAATTTTGTCTTGCAACAAAAAGGCAGCGGCCCGCACGGAGCCATAAGAACGAAGCTTAGGCAACAAAAGGATAAGCACTCTCGCATGCGCTAACGATTCCAAGCTTTTGCCCACCTCTTTCCATCGCGTCAGGATTATAGAGATGGGATCCTTAAACAGCTGGTCGTCTTCGAGAAGTCCTGCAAGACAAAAAAAAAAGGCAAAAAAGGCAGTTGCACGGTCAGTTACATATACTGTAATAGCACTACTAAAGCAAACAAACACGTTTTTTGAAACTGTGCATATACATATAAACAACCTCTTACAAGTGGCATACATGGCAAATTAACCGCTTCCAGCCAAAGCACTTCTTGTAGCAAACTTGCATAATGGAAACACTATATATGTAGTTAATTGAACTAATAAAGATTGTTAATTAAGTATTGCAAGCCAGCACTGAAAACTTGTTTATTTTAATAGACCACTGTGCAACCACTTTGCAGCCCAGTAATCCCAAGATCCCCTTTCTTAAAAAGCGTGCAACTGAGCACACTTGGCCTTCACTATATCTGTTTGTAACACCACTTCCTCACGCTCTGTACAACTATATTAGAGGGAAGATGCAACACATCCTATCTGCCAAGTTGTGAGTGCATCTTTATAACTTTGCTAATACGGCCAACTCACTGAAAGGCCAGTCGCTGTTCAAACGTTGACAAAGTGCAAACTAAGCAATGCCATTACGATCCACTAAAACTCTATATGGAAAAATGTTTTACGTCCATCACGTAAAAATCAAAGCAGCAAGCTCACATTTGGACTATACACAACTGATACAACAATTGCAAGCAAATCGAATCACGAAGTCGTCTTCATCTTTAGTGCAGTAACACTGAGGCGACTTTTCCATTCTGGCATGCTTGTCTTTCTTCTTCACCAAGAGCGGGTTTCTCACATTACAACTACCGCACATCCTATCACTTCGTGTAAGCTGGGCCTGATTGCAAGAGAAAATTCCGATGGAGGTGACAATTTTTCGGTACGTTTTAAAAACCGGGTATAACTCGGCCCGATCACGGTGCCCAAGAGAAAGTGCTCACCTTTTGGGAGTCCCGGCTCGGCGATGACGTATGCGAAGTGCGTCACAATGCTGTACAAATGGTCCATTCCACTCGCTTCCGGCATTCGAACCGACTGGAAGTCATAGGCGCTCGAGTCCACCGACGAGAAATTGATGTTGACTGGGCTGAGGCAGCCTGGGGTGGGGGAGGTTGGCAGGTTGCAACGAATATGGAAAGAAAATTACTGGCTGTGCTTACAGGGCTTTAAAGTCATAAGCATTTCAAGTTTGCACTAATTTTGAAGCCAGAAAAACAACGACACAATAATCACTTTACTTTTCGAGATGAGAGTGCTTGTTTTAAAAGCTTGTATGAAGTTTATTTTGTAGGGACCCGATGTGAACTGGTGTAGGCAGAAAGAGGTCCAACACATGCCATCTCAGGAAATTTTTGCATCATTGTACATAAAATATATATTACATACAGCCTTCACAGAATGAAATGTGTCAATTCAGGGCAAGGTGTTGCATATACTATAGTTCTAACTGCCCGAAATTCATGCCTCGCATGAATGTCCCATATACCGGTTAATATTTGCTGGTACATTTACACTGGAGCAGCTAGATTCCTACCAACATGACGTGATCACACTGAATGATTGCACACAAAAGTCGTACCTTAAGAATTGATGTCGTGTTTCAACCTAAAAGCGCTGTACAAGGAGCAAGGATTCTTGCATGCCATGTAGTAAACAACTCCTACACGACGCAGTAACCCAGTTTGATGGTGACATAATAAGATGCCTTTGTGTCTGGTTGATTCTAACACCCACCTGCTTTTACTCGCACAAGCTTCTCGACATTGTGAGCTCACACTTACAAGTGGCGAAATGAACTCACCATTATCAGAACTGGACTGCGACTTGGCAACGGGCAGCACTGCTGCCGCCGCCACCAAGGTGACGGCGAGGAAGACCGCATTTGGTGGCATTTCAGCTGTTAGTACGATACAGTCATTCGGGAATCAGGTGCTCCGATTGTGGCGCACTCTTCAGCCACTGTGTGCCCGCTTGGGAACAGAGGAGGAGTACTGCAAAGTCACGAAACAACAGTTGGTAATTAACGTAACATACATATCTGTACCTCAACTAACTAGAAAGATGGCGCTGCTAGCACAAGCATGCACGTCAGCAAAGAAGCCAATCCCAATCTTGCACAAATTCCATGACAGAACATTCGACTACGCAGCACAGGATTGGTCAGGGCTTGCCCACACGTCAGACATGAGAAAAACAACTGGAAAAGGCAGCAATGACAATCATTTTGTCGTCTGCTAGGCAAAGAACAGACAGAGAATGGATGGAGACGCTGTTCCACCTGATAGAATGAACATAAAACAGTCTCCAGACAGCTTGGATTGGATCGAAGCGTACGCACTCTGGCCATAGAAGCTAACTAGCCTGATTTGTGCCTGCCTTAATCCAAGCCAGTGCCAACACCTTCTGAAAACGACCACTAGTGGCGCCATTAAACATCTCGTGAAACTGCGATACCACCAAATGCCAAATCAAGGCATTGATGCAAATAAGTCATTACAGTCCTCGCAACCCTTCAACTTAAAGCTTTGAAAAACGATGCCCCCAATACTCTCATCCAGCAATAATAAATCTACATTTCATTCACGGAAAAAATTTTCGGAATCATTGTACAGTCCCGCAGCAGATGGTCAAAACATGCGGCATCCTTACAGGGTGCTACCCCTTCTCTCATTGGTTGTTGGCTTTCTCTTGTGCTCTTGTGACAGGGCCTTCCTCTCTATCACAAAATGTGTACAAGACTAGACCCCAGATGAGCCACCCACGACGCCCCCTACCCCGCCTCTTGTGGTCCAAATGAGGGGGAAGGGGGCACAAATTCGGTTGGTCTTGTAACCTCTGTTAAGCTAAAACGACGCATGAAAGCCCATATATTTAGGTTGGAAATATGAAGGGCACAGAGAATATTGGCTGCACGAATGTGTGCCATTAGTTTAAGAAAGCACATGAAAACTATACATTTCTCGAGTACGGCGTCTCGCCTGCAGCGAAATATGCAAATCGAAAAACCATGCTACACTGGAAGTGAATCATAGTTTGTGAAAAGAATATGTGTTTCGAGAGAGGCACCAAAGGTATGTAGTCTGGGGTTTTTCTGCTAACCACGTCGACGCCTGCATTCATGGGGGTAATACACGGTAACCGAGAACAGCGAATGCCACATTTAGACGTATTGCACCACAAATGCCCGGCGTGTTTTTAGTAGAGCATCCTTGAGAACCCCAGGTAGAAACCAGAACCTACAAAGTTTTTTTTTCACTGTGCCAAATGTGTTTGTTTTTAACTTTATACATTTAACTTTCTCATTTCTTCATTTTTTTTTTATTTTCTCTTTCTTTAATGTTTACACGGTGCGAATATTGTGCAAGGATAAGTCGCACATGGTTTTTGCGTGCTTTTAACTCGTGAAGTCATTTCTAACACCTCGGGTGTTACAGCGAAACAACCACTCATTGTGCAGACTTTAGTTTCCCACTATGGCAGTTTTTTCTTTAGTAGTACTCGCTGTTGGGCTAGCTGGTGGTGCATGCCTAGAATCAATAGTCTAACTGCACCACAAACACAAGGAAACACACAGGATGCACACCCACTCTGTCTATGTGTCCCTATGTGTTTCTGCGGGCATTTTATTATAACACATTTTTAAAGAAACCGTCTTTTCCAATTCTAATACACTATTAGAGGACCACAAAGCCAATCCCATATCTTAACATACAGAAAGCCAAGAGATAGCCTGTAATGTTATCTACGAAGCTACAGAGAAACTATCTGTTTCCTAGGGCTGTACAGTATCGCCTGGCATTTCGGCCACTGCCTAACAGCTGCCATGCGGGCAGATAATCATTGCGATACCAACTTGGCTAACAATAGGCACACTGCACAAGCAGATAGCCTGAAAACACACTGCTATCCATGTCACAAGTACAACTTGGGAGTCGACCTGCTGGGCCTTCCTGATAACATGAAAGAAACACGTTGGGCTCTGAGCTAGACCTGTTTTCTCCTTCTAATACGCCGTGAAACCACTTGTACAGAATGTTGCGCAATGGCTCAAAACCCCCTTATGATTGATTACCAAGTTAATTACCTGATGTTAGAGTTAAGTATGATGAAGTAAGATTCCTGTGGAAACATACGAGGTTAGATTAACCGTAACTTTTTTCGCAAGTTTTATAGAAAAAGTTCCACAAATTTGACATAGACTGTTGCATTTCCACGAACGACGACAAGCAACCGCGAAGTGTACGATTTTCAAAAATGTCAAATTCCCGCAAAAGAAAAAAAAAAAAACAGGACTGCATCCAACACATGTCAATGAACCACTTCTTTCTGTTCTGGCAAAAAAAAAAAAAAGAAGACATCTCTATGGCATCTCAAACATGATGAAATGGTCACTTTCTCCACCAGAACAAAAATAATGCAGCCAGCATTATTTTATGGGCTTGGGGGCATTATGCACACGACTACACAGGGGACGGGTCGGGCACGTGGTGTCACATTGCATCAATCTATGCTGCACATTTTGTGTCCGACGAAGCTTTCAGAAAAGAGGGGGCCACCTGCTCGAGTTCAGCCCTTGCACAGGGGCGCCCACTTCTGGCGTCTGGCATGTACATTTACATTTACAACATCCAGTTGTGTAACACAGGAATCGAGTTTTCGCAGCGACTATTTCACCATGTCACATTGGGTCACAGGAAGTTGAGTGCGACAGCTCAGGTTACATGAATGATCAGCTTCATGGGCTCCCTAAATTCGCTGTTCATAGAAAAACAAAGAGTTTTTGAATCGTTTGTGTAATTGTCTGAAACACAAACCTTAGCCAGTACACATGGATCTTATCCCCGGAAGAGCATCGGCTAATTCTAACAGTTCCAAGTGTTTCTTTGTGCTCTCCTCCTCGTCAAGAACTGATATTCTTGCAAGAACTGTTTTCTTCAATAAGGATATCGGTATTGCAAAGATACCTTGTTCTCTTCATTCACAACAGCTACTAAGCACTGCTCTCATTCTTTTAACAGACACTACATGGCTTCTCTTTTGTATTTCACACCCTGCAAGAGTCCAAGATGACTCGCTGTGCTGAAAGCCAACAAGCAATTGAAAACAGCACGGGCAACAAAAATACATAAAGACGTCCTTTGTAAGTTTGTCATCTGACTGACGCCGCAAATAAACACTTGCATCATTCCCCGCTACGCTATTTTGCCGTTGGCAAGCTGCCTACACTTCCCCCTTCCAGCTGCGCTAAGGATAACAATACACCGAGGAGAAAAAACAATAAAAGTGACAAAAGGTAATACATCACTGTCTCCCTACCTGGTGTCACACATACAGCCAGTAAAATAACTTTAAATTCGAACAGCCAGGGTGACGTAGCGATAAACAAGACTGCCCGTAGAGCCTTTCTAATAGCTTTTTTTTTTTTTTTTTACGGGACCACAAATAAAGAATGAAGTGGCTGCAAAATATATAATGCAGACCCGCAGTTAAAATCGGGGAAAAGGTGCTGCTAAAATAAAACAGATGCACTGCAAGTGGGCTTGCAGTGCAAAAGGGCTTAACCCTTTTCGACATGGCATCCTCTACTGGAGATACAACTTACTTATGACATTCCTGTGCACTTTAGAAAAGAAAGAGACCACGGACACTAAGATAGCAGTAACTTAAGCATTATTGTTGTGAAAGTTTTTTTACATCCCTTCGGGTTCAAATATTTTGCTACACACGATGGATTTGGTGAAGGCAGCACAGCGTTTAGCAAGACGTCGGACATGGAGTGCTTTGGCAGGAATTTCAAAACTTTTCTAGCCTTTTTATGAATGCTCACCTCCACATTACTATTGCATCTAATCTGAGTGGGTCAATGAAATCCGTTCACGAATAATGCAGGAATGTGTGTACAATGTGGACACTGTAATTAAATTATTTGTATATACTATAACTTACTCTAACACATCTACTTACTTTACATTTTGTCTCTATAACTTTGGCCTCAATTTATGTAACTTTCATGCATTTATAGGCAATCGATCATCATGTGGGTCGCAAAGAGCTTAAGAAGACATCGAATTAAGTTTGAAGTTTCTATCACAGCCTCTGCTAGAACCAGACCCTTTTTGAGCACTAGGATGGCCTTGTGATGGTACACATTGGCTAACATATTGGTGTGCCTCCTCAGCACACCAAATGCAGCGACAACTCACAAGGCAGGCAAGCTGTGAAAACGAAGCGTGAAAAGGAGATTCTAATACACGTGTTCCCCACTTTTTAGCTTTGACTGGACACCGGATACACTAACTTGAGAAAACCACTAAGTGAGGAATGTATTAGTGGGTTCTACACTACGTGTAAAGCCTGCGATAACAGATAATCTTGTCCTATGTCCCGGTAAATACCTAGTTTAAGTTTAAAGTTGGTTCATGACATGGATGTGACCGCTGTACAACCCTCATAGAACCAAACTAAAAAATTTATGGCTCAATAATACATATACTTTCATTTTAAATATCTAATATTCGCATGGTATCGGCATAATATCTACTTGAACGCTTACATCTGAGCCAACATTACCTCCAATAGCCAGGTTTCCAGTAATGTCCTGAGCAATTACTCATTGAAGTCGCTATACAAAAAAAAAAGCTGCATTTCAATCCAAGAGTACTGTGCAATGCCAGTACATCTGACACAAACGTTTTCGGCTGCGTTGTATAAATACTGTGTAAAGTCAGTGCCCAGAATGCTTGTCATGAATGGGTTTAGTGAATGTTCGCTTTAGTGGATATCCTTGTACAAAATCACGCGTTGCACATTTTCCCTAACATGTTATACCGATGGAAACAGCACTCTTTCAAGTGCGATTCATTACATGCAAGCTCCCGTAAAGAACAGCTAACGACTTAACAGCTGTCGGCAGGTGCTCAAGTAAACTATAGAGATAACAGTTCTTCAGTGAGCGACTAAACCTGAAGCGCCCTCGCAATCTGCCTTTGTC